TTCAGCTTAATTTAGCTATATGTATTTGAACTATAGGCTTTTTGGTGTGCTTAATGTAAGGAACTTATTTCTGATTGTTAATTTAGTATTTTGCATGATTGATTTAATCTTGGAAGTTCGTTTACTGAAAGAGTAAGAGAAGGGTTGCATTAAGATAGTAGTTTAGGTATTGGCCTGTAAAGTTTTGTAAAATATACGTTGTTAGGCCATGATGTGGCTATTTTGAATGCCAAAATTGCTAATAGAATCCTACTGGGTATTGCTGTCCTTTCAAAAGAACCCTAAATATAGGAGACTGAATTTGATCCACTGGGTAAGTTAGTAATTGTGCAAGATGTTTTTTGTTGGACTATGGGTAACATTTTTATGGCCAATGAAGGGTTTGCATGTGTTTATGCTGGTTGGTTTTAGAAATTTGTGTACGTATTCAAGTTTGATATTATTTCCTTATCGAACATGCTTACATCACAAGGATCCCTTCTTTGTCAAGGGACGAGGTGACTTTCTTTTCCTATTATTGAAAGCTACATTGTTTTGCAAATTACTGCAATGCTTGTGAATATCTGACAGACTTCTTGTTTACTATAATGTTACCTTAGAATATATCATTTATTCAGTTTTCTCATATTGCTTTGTATCCTGTGTCTCTTCTATATATGACTATGTGATTCAGTATCTGACTCTGGAGTTCTGTTTATGTTCATAGTTTGCTCATCTATTATGATACTTCCATATATGACTTGTTATTTCACTCAGCAGTTTTGGTTATATTCAGATTTTGCTCATGCTGTAAAACACTTTGGATGGTGCAGGTTTGGGTATGACTATGGTGTTGGATATGATCGTGAGGTTATGGGAAGGGCCGGTTACCTTGAAGAAAGGCCTCATAGCCGGTACTTTGGTCGCCCTTCCAGTGGCTATCAAGGTGGTCCTTCCTAGAAATTGCTTCACTACTTTCAAATTTCCTCAAACTTCAATTCATTCTCTTGAAATAATCTTGAAGCACTTTTATTTTGACCTTTGTCTTTGGCTATCAAGATTGTAGTGTCATTTTGGAAAGTGTTGAGATGCATATGATGAAAGTAACTTTGGACATCTATGAATTGATGCATAATTTTAGTTAATGATGACACTTTGATGAGTAGGTGTATTTCTTCTAAAATTTCATAGGGTGATGATGCATTATTGTATAAATGCAGCAGCAACAGACCTTTTATCACTCTTTTCAATTTATGCTGTTTTATTTTAGTTTGCCAAATGATTATAGCTTCTGCAGATTGGGATTCTGGCCGTGGTGGTTATGGTGGTGCTTCCAATTCAGGGAGTACTCAAAGGTTAGCTTTCAATCTTGTTTATAGACTACTGTATTAGATGAGGTTTGAATTACTTTTCATTTCATTTCATTGTTGGCATCATTCAAGTTCTATTTTAATTGAGATGATTTGAAAGCTGTTCTTCTTATCGTTTGATTATTGGATCTTTATTTATCTCAATCAATAATATGGCATGATAAGTAAATTTTTCAGAGAAGGATTGATGTCATACAAGCAGTTCATTCAAGAGCTTGAGGATGATATACTACCAGCTGAAGCTGAGCGCAGGTACAAATGAGGAATAATGTTATTGATTTGGTTTTATCTTGTTTAAGACTTGTGGCTTAAAGAAATGGAATGTTAAATAACTGTGGTTTTTTTGCTGTGTAGGTACCAAGAGTACAAGTCAGAGTATATATCTACCCAAAAGCGAGCATATTTTGAATCTCACAAAGATGAGGAATGGTACTTCTCTTTGTTTACTGAATTCCTGCCTCTCCATTCACTTCACTGTTCTAATTGGACTTGCTTATGTATGTAGGTTGAGAGACAAATATCATCCAACGAACTTGGTCACTGTTATTGAAAGGTTAGTTGTACTTGCTTATTTCACGATGTTTCAGTTCATGAATTTGTTAGTAAGCTGATGGACCCTAGCCCTGCATTTTGTTGCGTGGTGTCATTTTATCATGCTATAATTATATTCTTTCCTTCAATTTTATGTTTTGCTTTTGACATTTCTTTTTTTAGGAGGAATGAACTTGCACGCAAAGTTGCGAAGGACTTTTTGCTTGATCTACAGAGTGGAACACTGGACTTGTAAGATCGGTATTCTGTGTCTTCTTATTTGCATGCATATTAAACCTGGCTCTCCCTGCATATTATTTTCCAGCTGCCGACCAATAATTTATATTTGTGATGCAGAAGTCCTGGTGTCAATGCTTTGTCATCCAATAAATCAGGACAGACCAGTGATCCTAATTCTGAAGATGAAGCAGATGTTGGTGGTAAAAGAAGGCGGCATGCTAGGGAACCTGCCAAAGAAACTGATCTTTCCGCGGCTCCAAAGGCTCACCCTATCAGTTCTGATCCCAGAAGAATTCAGATTGACATTGAACAAGCACTGGGCCTTGTGTGTAAACTGGACTCTGAAAAAGGAATCAAGGAAAATGTTTTAAGTGGTTCCGGCAATGACAAAATAAATAGAGATAAATCTCATGGTAGTTTGACTGGCCTAGTGATTATTGTTCGTGGCTTGACTTCTGTGAAAGGCCTGGAAGGTGTTGAGCTTCTGGATACTCTTATAACTTACTTGTGGCGTGTCCATGGCTTGGATTATTATGGAATGATTGAAACTAGTGAAGCTAAGGGTCTTAGGCATGTGAGAGCAGAGGGAAAGAGTTCTGATGTGACTAGTAATGGATCTGAGTGGGAAAAGAAACTTGACTTGTGCTGGCAAGAGAGGTTGAGGGGTCAAGATCCTTTGGAATTAATGACTGCTAAGGACAAAATAGATGCTGCTGCCGTTGAAGCTTTGGATCCTTTTGTCCGGAAAATTAGGGATGAAAAGTATGGTTGGAAGTATGGTTGTGGTGCTAAGGGTTGCACAAAGCTCTTTCATGCTGCGGAATTCGTGCACAAGCATCTTAAACTCAAACATCCAGAGCTTGTGATGGAGCTAACGTCTAAAGTGCGTGAAGAGCTTTATTTCCAGAACTACATGAAGTAAGTTTAGTCTTGCATGCAGCATATTGTTGTTTATATTTTCTATTTTAACAATACTTCTATAAGATATACATTGTTGCCATTCACAGTGATCCAGATGCACCTGGTGGGACACCTGTTATGCAGCAATCCATGCCGGTATGCTATGACTGGTGTTGTTTTGATGTTATTATTGTTCTTACTGCTTTGTAGCTCATTTTTGTTTCCTTTTTTCTTATAATTTTTTCTTCTTGCAGAAGGACAAGCCTCAGAGACGTAAACTATTGGAAAATCGCTTGAAAGATGAACGTGGCTCACGTAGAGAACGTGACAATCGAGCAAATGGTAGTGATAGATATGATAGGTCTGAGAACCCTCAATCAAGTGATTTTCCATCCAACAATGATGGTCCTGACGGGGGGAATCATGATGATCCAATGTTTGATGCTTTTGGTGGACAAGGGATGCATGTTGCAGCTCCATTTTCTTCAGATATAGCACCACCACCAGTATTGATGCCTGTTCCTGGTGCTGGGTAGGTCTTATGCTGTTCTACAATTTGCAGTAGTTAGCTTATTATTTTCTAGAGTGCTTATGCATGTGTAATTGCAGTCCATTGGGGCCCTTCGTTCCAGCTCCACCTGAACTTGCAATGCAGGTGTTCAGAGAGCGGGGTGGTCCTCCTCCTTTCGAAGGCAATAGTAGAAGTGGACGTCCTGGACCTAATTTAAGTGGCCCGGCCCCCTTTCTTTTGCCTCCTGGCTTCCGACAGGATCCTCGACGTTTACGAAGGTAAGTTTGCTTGAGACTGTTGGCAAACCATTGACTAATGATTTGGTAAATTAAAATATACTTTTAGTTGTATATAGTGTTAGGATATAATATTTGCTGTTCCTCCAATGGAATTTTTCAAAATGAGGTGGGCAGCGAGCTATTTTTAAATCACAAAGTGCCCCCAGTGTTCCATGTGACTAATGGAATATCAAACAGTGTTATGATTGGGTGACCTGCTTGTGATCAACCATTTCTTACCTTTTGAAATCTATAATGACATCGCAGTATTCTCATAGGTCATCACATTCCTCCCCTGCTCCACTTGTCCCTCTTCACCCCTTAGACTCTTAGTTTCTTACTCTTTAATCTCATAAAATTTGATTGCCCAACTGATAAATGCAACTAGAGCAGTCTCCTTTTTTCTTATGGTTTGGGAAAAGATAGAGTTGCTATGTTCTGTATGTCAGTCTCAAGTCTGAGGTTACCACATTGTGCTTTAACAATTGATTTTTAGTTAGGGATGAAAAATGCCTATGTTATTTTAGTTATTCTGTTGTGTTTCTCTTCTACAGTCAGCTTAGTAAGGCTTGCCCTGTTTTATTTCATGCAGTTATCAAGACCTAGATGCACCTGAGGACGAAGTCACTGTTATAGACTACAGGAGTTTGTAGGTATTGGAAATGGAGGGATGGCAAGACTTAAAATGCATATTTTATGGAGGCAGAAAGCTATCATCAAACATTCCAAGGTCAAATGCCGTTATTTTATGTCTTATCTGACAGGAGAAGCATTGACCTTGTACCATTTTGTTAAAACATGAAAATTCTTAAAATCTTGCCAGGTACACGCTAAAATTCTTCTCTTTGTGATTTCACTTAGAAGTGTGTAATTGCTGCCAACTGTCTTTTTTTCCTCTTTGTCCCACCTGACTGACTTCAAAGGAGATGTTTATCAACATGGGGTGGGAGGGTCATACAATGGTTAACAAATTTGTAGTATTTTGCTGTAAAATGGACTTCTAGCTGATAGGTTTTAGATAGCTGCTTATTGGTTTTGATCTTCCTAGTGTTATAATAAAATGGTTCCAGCCATTGTTGATATTCTTGGACTGGCAGTGGTTGAGAATAAGTTATAGGATCTTAGCACTTGTTTGCATAAACGTGCTTGCAGTAGTAAATCCCCAAGACATGAGCAAAACCACAAAAATGTATGAAGCCTAATATTTACATGAATGATATTTCCTCCAATGTATAATGTTACACAACGAGCTTACAGAAGAGGAAAATATTAAACAGAGAGAGGGAAAAAAAATCTATTCAATATCATCATCCAAGATAAGCCACAATCTGTCGCATATTCTATTCTTTTTGAAGCGATCTGGACTTGTTTTTCTGGCAGCCGAGAAAAAGCAATTCAATGCAACATAATAAAAAAAGTCGGCGCTCGCACACGCTCACAACTAACATACCTGTTACAGGAATTACAAATCATCAGATAGCTAATCACCAGAAAGGCATAAACTCAATCAAGTGTCTCGAAAATTGTTCTGTACATAACTATGCATACAAATGAACACAAGTGTTCACACAAAATGTAAGAGAAACGAGGAATTGAACCAAAAAAAAATGCCTTCACTTGTGTCCATAACAGCGAAGAAACCGTGCAAAGTGCTGAAAACTGAAACTCCATGGATTGAACATGAGAACTAAAACTAAAGAAAACCCATTTGTCGGAATCACCTAAAAACAGAAACCCGCGTTGAAGAAGTGCAGAACGATACGACCTTTGATCAAATTCATGAATTTTCCAAGAAAAACTGAAAGGAAGTGAGAAGCTGAAACAAACAAGCCCGTTATTTTCGACCTGGCCCAACCTTTTCGAATTCATTCAGATGTTAAACAAAAGGAGTTAGATGATAACATTTTAACTGAAGTTTGTAGGGTCAAATCAGATGATTCTTCTCTGTCCAAACTTACTGGCGTAGGTAAATTCTTTTGTATCAATCTTCTTGTTTATCAGACGAGAGCTGCTTCTTTAGTTATTTTTTTACTATATTACTTTTGCTTCTTTGTTGCATATTACACATAGGTGTGTGTCAAGTGTTATCCAATTCAAAATCAAGAACAAAAGTCATAGGCATTGCATCACTTATTGGAAAATCAACAGGTCTGTTTTGCTTTTGTCATTTTTTCCACGCGATGTAATTATTTATTAGCTTTATTTCAAGTGACAAGCTTAGTTCATGGTCGTCTATTACTTTTGATTTGCCTTCTATATAGAAACTTCTTTTTGACAGGTATGTTGGGTTATGTAATGAGTGAGGTTGAAGATGGCTAGCCATTGAGCCAAGTTGTTAAATCTGCTAAAAGTTCGGGATACACTGAACCAGGTTTCTTTGAAACTAAAATTGCTGTCTTTTAGCCAAAATCTTTGTTAATAAGTGACTATTGAGGCTTCTTTTTGCTATGCACAACTGATTTCCTCCCTTTGCATGTTTGACTCTTCTCTTTGACCCATTGTATTTTCACAAAGAAGTTGATATTTTCCTACTTTACAATTTTAATTAATGGTCTCAAGTATATGCACGTGTGATTTGCTTAATTTCCATTCTCTGAAACAGGCTTTGATCCTTGCCTGAGAACTATATTCCATTGAATGCTAAACTTTATAAGGGGTACTATTTTACAAATCCTCCTTTGAGTGACATGAAAAATTGTAGAAAAGAATTATTACACAACTTTTAACTTGTCTATTTCATAGAAACTGCATGATAATTTCATTTTTGAATGATGAAGTAACAGGTGATCACATTTTTGTTCAAAGCATGAACCATATTGGTTGTCCAATTTTTAAACTAATGGAACAGAATCCTCTATTTAATACATTGAGGTTATTTTGAGAAGATTACTCATGCTGCATCTTGCTTTGTGCTCGATCATTGAGCTAAGTCATGATGAAGGTGAATATCGAATATAGCGGAACTTGCAGCAATGAGAATTTTGGAGGGGCTGAGTTTAAATATATAATAGTTGGATTTTCCATATTCAAAGAACTGTTTTACACTTTCTCTCTCTCTCTCCTTCTTGGCGTGGGAGGGATGGATCGAAGAGTTGTTGGTTATGGCTGCACCTGTCAACTGTATCCATGCTCAACAGTACGATCCTATTCACCTGTAGCAAAAGTTGGAAAGATATAAAATTATACCGCTGGAAGTCAGTAACTTCAAATCTGCATGCTGTGGTTGCTGATAATAGAATGGAATCTCGATATTTTTTTCACAAAGATGCAGTAGCATGAAGGTAAGGGAAAAGATTGCAAGTGTTAAGATTCAAACTTTAGACGTGGTGGATGTTATTTTTTAGAAGTGGTTGCATGATCAATTGAATTAAACTTCGGATTCAACGGATGTCCATATTTTCATGAGGCTGCCTCCAATGCCGAGGGGTACTTGGACCTGTAAATTTTGCGAGAGATATAAAAACTTGATAGGAGTATTGTGGAAATCTCAAGGAAACAGCAGTGCTTTCTCTGCAATACAGAGGATTGCATGGATTGTTTTATTCAAACCGATAATAAGGTCGATGGTGATCATGGTGCAGTTGGATTTCCTGTCAATTCCTGAGGTCCTACCATATTTGAATTGCATTTTTTCCGCTAAAACTCATTATGACTTCAAGAAGCAATTAGTAGTTTGCAATGAATCAGAAACTGTTTAACTACAGAAAATAGCACTGGCAATACTGAGCCGTGGAGAATGCATTTTATCATAATACATTGCATCAGAATGCATTAAGAAAGTGCATTTTAAGTGATTCCAGCCACATGCAATGGGCTCTAATGGTGGTTCTGCAAATGATTCATCAAATCCTTCTCTCTTACTACTACTTTCTGTTTCCATTTGACAATCAGATAGTGAACCACTCTTACAGTTTTGTGGTCGAAAATAAAAGATCGAGATGCAACACGCGTGTAGATCATTATCTTTTCTTCAGAATTAGGAAACACTCTGATCAGTTTATCACCCTTGTGCTTTTCATTGAAATAAACTTTTTGCTTTTGGAAGATTTAACATCACTAAAACATGGATATTGTCACGGATAACATATGGTTAGCTCAAGTGATAAATGATAAAGAGAGTGTTTTTCGTTGTTGTTGTCCAGGTTCAAATTTACCAAAGGACTTGAAAAAGCAATTTATAATGAATTCGTTAAATCGATGTTGTAGATAAATTTACTTGAATCAATTCAAAATGTAATTGTATGGAGCAATGCGCTTAAAAAAGTGAAGGGTATTTGATGAATTTCTGATATACTTGTTAAAGGAGGTGAATAAGCCAATAGCCATTTTTGGTACATTGTAAACTTCAAGTCTTAAGCCACATTTATCATTTTCATCCCTAAATTCAAACAGTTTGGCTTGGGGAAAGGATCTTCCAGCTTTTTTTTGTTCAGCATGCAGTATTATTATATATCAAAACTGGAAGTAGCATCAACTTCCTTTTCAATGTTTTGATACTTGTACAACTTGGCACACACTAAAAAGTAGATAAAATTCAGCGCCCCAGCCGTAACTAAGATCCAGTACAGATTGTCTAGCCTTCCACTGTTTATGTTTTCTGGCAACCATCCTGTAACGTTCCTGATTAGATCGACCAGAGCTGTGCTGACATAGAAAGCAATGCCGACAACTAAAGAAACCATAGCAGTAGCTGTGGTTCGCAGTGAGGCAGGGAATTCTTGGTAATACAATGCAACTTGTCCTGGAAAATGAAATGCATCTCCTATGCCAACCACAACAAGCTGTGGAAATAGCCACCAGACTAGCATTGGCACTATGGCACCATGCTGTGCCTCAAGGTGGTGAGCATGGACTGTTTCGAGCCGTTTTGACTCCACCAGTGCTGAAATTGCCATGCTTAGCACATTAATAACATGGCCTACTCCTATGCGCTGCAGCGGTGTCAGAGGACGGCCAATCAGCTTCTGCCAGGTAGGAAATAGGAAGCGATCAAACAGGGCGACAAAGATGGATGAGGATATAAGGACCACCACTACAATAGATGCAGCAGGGATTTTGAAATTGGAGCCAAGGTGACGGTCCATTGATAGAGCTTGGATAACTGTTATGCTGGATTGGATTGCTATAGGAGTGGTAAGAAATATACCACTTGACCATATTGGGAAAAGTCTTATTAGAGTCTTGAGATCTTCAACTTGTTGTAAAGTGCATAGCTTCCATGGTCTTGCAATTGATCCATCTGAATAGATGTCTCCCTCAGTTTTCAGCGCTGCTCGGTTCAAGAACCTACATCAATGGAGATTAATCTTAAGTTTACATTGTTCAATTTTAAAGATATTAATATCAATAATCATATGATTTTCTTTTTTCTTCAAATGAAACATATATATTTGTTCTTTCTGCAATTCGTCAAGACAAATGATGTGACACTCATTAAAGTAAGACTTCAAGTTCTCCAACAATGGTTGACTGGAGCAATGGTGGGCTCACCACTAAATTAAATGTCATGCATCTAAATGATTACAACTTCAAAGACCAAAGGTTGAAATCTTCATTCTTCAGTTTTCACTTAATGTGAAGAACAAAAATGGAGTTTCAAGGGATCAAACAAATGGAATGGAAAGGCCTCCAATCCATTGATGTTACACTTCAAAGATTACAATCTTCGAGTCTTGGATAAGGACCGAGCACGTGTCTTGTGGCTTGTATTGTACTCGCTAAATCATGATCTGAATGACTAAAACTTCTCATTATAGAACCTTCCCAAACTGTGCTAAAGTGGTCCTGAATAGTTGCCTAAAGTTGACATGGATGACATTGATTAGTTTCTACATGTAATAATGCTCCCAAAAGGCTAAAACTTTAGAGTGAGCTTATTGGAAGAGCACAGGGTCGATTGAACTATGCCTGAAACACTATTGTTTTTGGTATCATTATTAGCCCTTTTTTTTTTCGTTTTGTGAAAGAAGATATGAAAGTGTGTGTGTGTATTTGTCGTAATGGATGTAATTATTATTAAGGAATAATGTAATTCGGAAGTTAAAAGTTTTTACCTGAAGCTCCGTTTTGGTGTTGCAGGCATGACCTTGTTTGTACCATCATGTTCATGGTAATAATCTTCACTCCTGGATGAGAGCACAAGTTTCCTTTTCCATACAGCAGCAACAACAACACGAAGCAAACCCGTAAATGGGCTGCCTCGTGGCTTGTCACGTCGATAGAATTGATGTCCAGCCAAGAAAATGGCTAAAGCAACGAAGTTAGCAGCAAAACATATGCCATATCCAAGCTCCCAGCTAATGCTATCCTCAACATAGACAATAGCTGTGGAACTTATTATGCAAGATGCAAAAATAGTGAAAAAGAACCAATTGAAGAAAGTTTCCTTGTCTTTGGGCTTATCAAGTTGATTTGCTCCCATTGTTGCTAGAGTATACCGACTTCCCCCCAACCCTGCAGATGCCATAGCTATACTCACATACAGGATTGCAAGTTGTACTTTTGATGGAGTTTGGCACAAGCTTGATCCAGTTTCACACGGTGGAGGTTTCAAAGAGCTGAGTTTTGCTGTTAAAGTTAGCATAATCATCCCCTGCAAAGCTTAATAACCAGATTGATAGTAAACAATCCTATTTGATGATGGAAATGAAATTACTTGAAACACCATAGAAAAAGGAATGAACATGAAAAGTCATTTTACCAGTGAAGAGATAAAGCTAGAAATTGCAACAACAGAAAAAGTTCCCAAGTAGGAGTCAGAAATGATTGCTCCAAGGATTGGAATCAGGTTCATACAACCATGAACCACGTTGGAAATTTGAGTAGCACTAATGCTCGGCACATTGAATTCCTCAACCAGGTAGACAATCAGGTTTGCTAACCATCCAAAACCAGACAGCATCACCCCTGACAGGGTCCCTGGTTAATGCCAACAAAACACAAACGTTAGTACAACCAATAACATATTTAAGCCTGAGACGAAATTATAAACTATTAGTAACTTGGAACATATAAGAAAAGAGAGAAAGAGAGAAAGAGAGAGAGAGAAACCTGCAATGAAGAATAAGGTGATCAAACCACCCTTTTTGCTTACGGAATCTGACATTTGCGCTTCAGTGTCACCAGGGACCTTCTTGGACTCTGCCATTACTGCTGTTGTTGAAGAGTTTTCATGGGCAATCAATTTATAGCCAGAGATATGCTGTTGTTGTAACCTGGAATGTGCCCCACAAGCTGCTTGTGCTTGCGTCACCCTCACAATGTCAAGGCAAAATGCTGAGGTAGCAGCAGATAAAAATATTGCAGTAAAATGTAGATTAAAAGAAGCATGTGGGACAAAATTCGGTACGTATTTTGGCTTCCTCCAATAATCAGTGAAAGCCTAGCAATACTACAATAAAATTTCACACACACATATCTAAATATGAATGGAAAATTTAACTACATTATTTATATAATCACTCTTAAAAATTTACATTCAGTAAATTTAAGATTCGAATTTGAAAACTTACAATCTCTTTTACGTGTTTTCGGGTCACAACCTCTTTGTACCAAAAATATACATCTTAATCATGCCAATGATGCAATGCAATTATTAACTTATGCTAATAATTATTTATAAATCTTAAACATCAATCAAATTTAATACTAAAATAAACTTTCACATGGAGATAATCAAGCAATATTCAAGACTTCATCAAGGAATCAACATAAATTAAATTAAAGCCTTTGACTTTGAAAGGTTTTCAAAATGATTTTTTAGCCCTCTCTTCTGCACTATAGAAAACTTTGCATACAATTCATAAAATCATAATAGACTCCTCCAATCCCCATATCTTTATTATTCATAATTTTCATTGTTAATAACATAAAACAATAGAGACGGCTATAATTTTCATTGTTAATAACATAACGACAATAGAGACGATTATAGATTTATTATTAATTGCATGTTCAAACGAGTACAAACCAAATAAATAATTAAGGGTGAGTTCTCATGACTAAATGATTTTCGATGTTGCTCTCTTTTTTTTTTCCTTGAACCAATCCAAGTTTTAAGTTCTTAACCCTATGAAAGTTTTCTTTTTTTTAAATTTAAATTTAAATTCGAAACTTTCACCGTGGAACTGATTCTTAAAACCTCTTATTTATAAATAAAAGTTGTTCAATGTTCATGTGATTAAGTAATATAGTCTTGCTTATCATTTTTTCTTTTAACCTTGAAAGGGGAGATAAGTTTCATTCAAATATATATATATATATATATATATATATATATATTGTCTCAAAATGTTGCCGTGGTTTGCATATGTTCAACAGCTTAGCATCTACAAATGGTCAACTCTCAGATCCATTTCATAACATTATTGATGGTTTAATTGTGAATCACTTAATTGATTAGCTTATTTATTAATTGAATGAAAAAAGATGTATAATATTTATTATTTAACCTTAAAACATGTTAAAGATTAGTTTATGCTATATGCAATCAATACTAATAGATATTTAAATATGGAGTATATCTACAATGAAGTCTCCTGGTTTGTTTTTTCCCTCACTTACCTTCCACTTCCTGTTCAAGATTTTAATATTTGTAAAGCTTAGCACACACCAAATAATAACCAAAATTCAGCAACCATCCTGTAACATTCCTAATAAGATCAACCAGAGCTGTGCTCGCATAGGAGGCAGGGAATTCCTGATAGTACACGGAAACGTTTCCTGGAAAATGAAATGCTTCTCCAATCCCAACAAAAACTAGTTGTGGAAATAGCCATACGGATAGCCTAGGCACTATGGCACCCTGCTGATCCTGGAGGTGGAGATCATGGGATCAAGGCTGATATTGCCATGCTTAGTATATTGCAAGTAAAGATGCCTATCATTTAGAATGAAGAAGCAGCCATTGATAAGTTCCTACCATCAGCATAACCATATAAATGCTCTTTCTTCCAAATAAAAAATGGCTGCAGCTTTTTATTATTCCCCATTGAGTTCAATAATGGTGTGGAGATAGTCTATCAAAACCCAATACCAAAACATCAGAGAGGATATTATAGGGCAAAGATATTCAACAATACATCAACTTTAACTTAACATGAATTTTTACATACAATATTTTATTTGATCGACAAATTATACAAAATAAAGTCAATTTTCATTGATATTGTTACAACAAGATCATTTGCCTGGGTTACACTTTATCAAATACAGCAGTAAAATTGCATGTGATACAATCAGAAGATAATAAACAAATAACATATGATAGCATATTGGAAGTGGAGAAATACACAAATTTAAGAAGTCTTGTGGTTTGCGAAGGTTGCAAGGGACTGACCTCTTGAAAGCTAACATCAACGGGCAGTCATGGGTGCAAACTCAGCAAAGCCACTTCAGAGAGATTGCAGATGCAAAAATAGGATGCCTCAGTCCAAAACCTACCAGCCTGTTCTGGTTGCTATCTATCAGCCACGACAAACTTTTACACCAAACATTACTTGAACTGGTGCATTTAGAAGATAGAAGCATCTATTGAACCAAACAGGATAACTATATTTTATATTAAGCATAATATGGATTCAGAGCTAAGGCCTCTTCGTAAATCATGTCCTTCATCTGCTCTTCTCCCAATGGCCGCTGCTCAAAGTCAAAACAAAATGGCTCAGGGCAGACTGGTTCATCAGCTATGTCGTGTAATCTTTCAAGATAAGGATGGGCCAATGCTTCTTCAACTGTCCACAGACAAATTTAACATTCAGTTAAGAAAAATAAAGATTGCCTAATTCAGCCATTACAAATTCAAGTCTCAACAAAAATATCCATGACGATTACCAAACAGTGTTCATTTATTCTACAACAAAATCGTATAATTATGGTTAATAATTTAAATTCATGAATCCATAAGAGCATGATGATAAATTTATCACTTACCAGTAATTCTTCTGGTAGGATCAAATGTCAACATTTTGTCAATGAGATCAATAGCCAATGGATGAACATGTGGGAAAACATTTGCTAGCGGCTGGCGAGGATGTGCAGGGAGCTGCCTGATATATCTTCTTGCATCCTCATTTTGGAGAAACCCAAGATCAGATTCAGTTGGTGTGCCAAGCAGCTGTAAAGCAGAAAAGGCATTGGTAAGTACCATTCAAACAAAGAAGAAAAGAACAAGGAAAGAAAGCAACTCAATTTTAATATAATACCAAATTAAAAATAAGAAAATTATAAGTTTGTCATTGCGATGTATACTAAGTTAACTAGATATGTTCAGCTACACGAACTTTGTCTAAACCCAGATTTTCGAATATTAAAATGCTAAACTAATGAATGGTATAATCAGCATGGAATCCAAATTAGAGAATTAATTGTAACATTTATCTTGAGCTAGAGATTATTTCATGGATTCCCCATTGATCAATCTTTCCCCTTGTTACAACTCTTGTAAATTGAGACCATATTATTAACCATATTCCTCAATATAAAGTCAGCTAGCTCTATTCAACATTTGCTCATATCTCTGTTTACCTCAGTCAATAAACGCAGTTGATGTACATGATCTTTTCCAGGAAACAAAGGCTTTCTATTCATGAGCTCCATAAAAATGCAACCAACGGACCACACATCTATGGCGGCTGTGTAGTCTGAAGAGTTCAGCAATAGCTCTGGTGCCCTATACCATCTTGTGACAACATATTCAGTCATAAACTCATTCTCAGCAGTAGGTCGTGCAAGACCAAAGTCACAAATCTTAAGATCACAATTAGCATTCAGCAAGAGGTTGCTGGGTTTCAAATCCCTATGAATCACATTCGCAGAATGTATGTACTTCAGTCCGCGAAGAATCTGATATAAAAAATACTACATACCACCAAAAAGATATAATTAAATCAACATCAACATCAAATACACGAGCATTAAATCTTTCATACACAATAAAACTTAGGTGAGGTTCTTTAGGTTCTTCTCCAATGTTCATTAGGAAACTTGAGGAAAAGTTATAAGGAATTTGAGCAATACCTGACAATGCTCCTCAGATAAACTCTGATTGGAGCGAATGATCTGGTGAAGATCCGTATCCATGAGCTCTGTAGCAACGTAGACATCAGTAAATTCTCTCCGCGAAGGCGGAGGAATCACATCTCTAATTCCAGTAACCTGTTTACCATGTACAAAATCATTACTTTAGAATCTGTCAAAGCTCAATCCTCATGTCTAAGATTCCAACTGTGTGTGTATATATATATATATATATATATATATATATAGAATTCCTATGAGGAAAAGAAATTCATTAACTTGGTCAAAATTTTAAATCTTTGAATTAGGGTTTCAATTTCCTTGACCAATAGTGATTTATTAACCTCAAAAACCTAGGAATAAACTTCCAATTTAAAATTTTTGCTCCACTTTTTCATCTTCTAAAAGTTATGAAATAAAAATTTTAAAACTAAAATAAAAAGGCTTACATTTTCGTGATCAAAATGTCGAAGCAGCTTGATCTCACGAAGCGTACGCTTAGCGTCCATGTGATTATCAAAAGCGTTGGCAATTTTCTTTATCGCCACCATCTCATTCGTCTCCGAATTCAAAGCCGAGCTTCAAAATCCAAAAAAATAAGAAAAAAAAATCATAAATCAAACCCAAAAAAAAAAAAAAACAAATTAAGTGAAAATATAATTAATTTGTTAGATCGCATACCAAACGATGCCGTAGGCTCCACGGCCTAACGGCATGATCGGAGGCCGATACTTAGACGTTATCTCAAACAGATTTCCAAAAATATTATACTGAATAAATAGACCGCCGTGAGTATGAAACGCCGGAAAATCTCCGGACTGACCACCGGTGTTTCCCTGAGGGACGTCAGCCATTTCGTAACCTTTTACTGTTCCGTGGTTTTCTTTTGACTCCTTTGTTCTTGCATTCTCTTGGAGGAATTCAGAGAAGTCTAAGGTATTTTATATATAGGGAGACAAATCAGTAATCATTTTGGCATTTGAGTCAGAATTTGTGAGTCGAGTGAGTTCAGGAGCTTCGTGTCAGCTACGAGGAAAGAGGAAGGAAAACGCGCGAGAAAGCGAGGGATGTGTCCAATGAAGGGCTGAGATTGCAGCCGCCTCCGATCTACGGTTGACATTTGATGAATTCTGTCAATGATTATCTTGAGTTTTGTGGGTTAAAAATAAAATAATTATTTTTGGTTCACCAAGTCCTCTTTACAATTCAAACACTTTTTTTAATATCTTGCTTATTTTGAAAAGTCAAAGCTCTTTAACTTTGTCAAACAAAATTTTTTGCTAAGTTTGTGTTTTCAACATGCATGATCATTCTGCCCATTGTGGAAAACTTTTTCCAACGCGTTTCCATGTAAAAATGCCCTAAACAGACGATAACAAAGGTTGAAGAACAGAGGGTCGCTTTCGTTTTCCTTACCATTTTCTTTTGGAACAAACACTAAAAACGGAAAAAAGTAAGAAAGATAGTAAATATTAGTTCCGTGGCCAATGGTTCAAGAGCTCCCCGTGAGAAACTTCCTCTTTTTGCCAAAATTTTGCGAGAGAAACATAGATCCCCCGATCCAAACCGACTTTAAGAAAATACTTCGATTTACTTCTGATTGAGAATAGTATCCATTTTGATTAAGTTTAATTTTATTATTTTAAATTGATAATATTATAAATTTTAAATTTTCTATTTTTATATATTATTTTAATGAAAATTTTAATGTATTTAATTAAATTTATATATAAAATAATTATTTTTATTTTATAAAAATTTAAAATACATATAAAAACAAAAAATATATAATCCAATTTTGATTTTTTATTTTCCACATTTAAACTCGATCCAAATTTAATACATATATTTTATACCTAAACTTAATCCAATTCAAACTAAAATTTAATACATTAATTTTATATTTAAATTTAATCCAATTCCAATCAAATCAAAATAAATCGATGTAAACCTAACATTCTAATTTCAAATCAATTTTGATTTTTTTAATTTTTTTTCTTGCCCCTACCTCCTACCTCTGACCTAACCACTAATTTTTTAAAAAATATCTGATTTTATCATATCAAAAGGGATCAAATCTCATTATATACAATTTATTTTTGCATTCCTAAGATAACTCGACAAATCTGTTTTCAAACGGAAACTATTTGAAAAGAAAACATTGCTGGTTAACTGTCTGGATAATTGGCTAATTTCTTATAGAGTAATAAAACATATGCCTACTTCTCTTACGTTAGTGGCAACTAGGAAGGGAGCAAGTCTAAATCACCTGATCCATGATAAAATATCAACCAATACCGCTTTTTTAACTGTAAAAACTCTTAACAATGGTAGCGTATAAGCGGCATTTAAGCATAGATAGAACAACATCAGGGGAGAGAATTGGTAATTTCATGCTCGGAAGACACGTAGCTTTATCCGTGGCGATCCAGCATTAAGCCAATAACCAATCATTTATGAATCATTCCCCAAGAAAGCAAACTTGAAAGCTAAGTACGTGAATAACCAACCAAACTTCCCAAATTCAGTTCAACAAAATAAAACCATGAAACCTCCAAAATTCTTCAAGCAACAATTGCCTATTAACTTTTGAGACATTATAAACCCAATACATTTGTGGAGGCAAATGTTGTTGGCTTCATCCTGTTTTGCAACCACCAGCTTACGCATCAGCAAATCTGCAAGACAACAGAGAAACTATCAAAACATTTACAAGCAGATTGAAATCAAGTACACCAAGATTGAAGTTCAAGAAGAGATTAATGCGGGGATTACCCTAGCTCAGAGAGCTTCAGGTGAGCTTCAGTGTAATCAGCAAAGAAGGCGTCCTCATCCTGCAAAGTGTAAATACGTAAAAAAATCATCAGAATAAACAACATTTAACTTCTCAATTGGGGATTCTATCAAAATTTTGAATCTTTGAATTGGACAGAAAAGAGGACTGAAGGAAAGAGTTCTGTACAGCTACGTATTTATCAACCAATGGACGGAAAACTGGGTCAGAAAGGAGAACTTTGTCAGTTGGCAGCTGAAGAAGGTTTTCCTTCTCTCCAGACAAAAGCTCCCTATAAAATATTATCCAATTAGCATCAACTTAATTCAATTTGCGACAGACTGTTCATTACAACTCAATGGACATGTATTTGCTCCTGATTTACACAAATAAACTGCCCAAGACTACTTATTGTGGACGTTTCTTCACAATAATGATGATGATAATCATGATGGGGAAAATACCAATTCAAATTGAATGTGCATAACTCATAAAAGCTGAAACTCACTTAAAGTAAGAGTTGTCAAAGATAAGAGGGTTAGTAGTCCATGGTCCCTCAAATCCAGACCTCTCTTTGTGGCACCGTCCCTACATCCAAAGGCAAAGAAAATATATATCATTTTAAGTGGATAGGCAAATAACAATTCGAACTTCAAGAAAACAAGGGAATTTGAAATTTAAGAATAGACCAGGGTGTGGCCACCAGAAAGAGCAACAATGTCCTGGTCGCTAAGACCCATTTGATTACCAAAGACCTGCCTCAAGTGATCAGCACCTGCAAGATATTTTATCAAAAGATTAAATCAAGATCATCACAAGCACTAACCCAACGTTTCTATTCACAATACAACAATGGCATTTCAAGACGAATAGTATACACTAACCCTTGGTAGCATCAGGAAGACGGCCCTCAGGTGGTGGGTGAGGTTTGTCCTGCATTTACCACAAAACTTGTAGGTAAATCCAGTACCATAGAATATACAGTAACAATGTCGTCAAACTTAATACTAGGAATGATTCCACAACTTGATCAAAATTTACTTGAGTTTTGTAGCTCAAGCCAACATCAACCAACTACTGTTATATATTTAACCATTTTACAAAGAGGAAAACCTTCTAAAATTTCAGTACCAAAGCAGTCACTCACTCTTTTTCCCAAAAAAAAAAACACTCTAAATACAATTATCATTTATACTCTATAAAAGCAAGTATTAGACACTAAGCTAATGTTTGGTAAATAACACGATGGATAAGATAAGATGATAATCATCTTATATTATATTTGGCTTGTATCTAAAGAAAATGATAGGATTACAAGAAAGATTAATCATCATCTTTGCATAAAACGATTCAATGCTCCTAAAATAGAGAGGATTATTTTTAATGCATGGGATTGAATTTACATGTACTATTATATTCTTAAAAATTACATCAATAATTTAAATATAAATTTTGAAGAAAGATAATTTTGACCAATAAATAAATTATTTTATCATAATCCTTGCATACATCACACACAAGATAGGATGACATTATTTACTCTAATCTTATTCATAATATCATCTTATCCTATCTTATCATAATCTTGTGTACCAAACTCATCCTAATTTCTACTAAATAAAAAAATGTACATTAAATTTCCATTCAAGAACGAAGCCAGATTCCATCATGGAGTAGTGAGCATCTAAAATTAAGTTAACAATCAATATTCTTAAAATTAACTGTTGCTGATTAATTACGTAGGGGAAATTATGACTAACCTCTCTTCCGGGATGGAAGGGAATTTCAGGTCCACCTGTGACCTCAACAGCGACGACACCAGCAAGCTACAAATTAATCAAAAAAAAAAAAAAAACAGACAAAATTACTCAAATAAAACACGAATTAGTTAAATCTGAAATTAATCACATAAAAATCAGATTAAAAGTAAAATACCTGATAAAAGTCAGCGTACGAGAGGATAGGAAACTGCTCCTTGATCGGCTCGAGAAGCCTGACGGCAATATCTAGACCGTTGTTAGCACCATGTGCGAGCTCCTCAGGATGCTTCATGGTTCCGAATGGACCTCCGGTCTTGGTCTTAACATCAAAAGTTCCAGCTGAATGCCACCTGTCCCCGATCATCACCGTTCGATCCATCAAAATCACCAATCTCACAACCAAAACTTTAAACCAGGCAACAGAGGGAGAGGAGAGGAGAGAGAGAGAGAGAGAGAGAGAGTTTACGCTAAACGGAGCATGATTGGAGCACAGTTCTTCTCAGCGATGAGAGCTCTGAGCTTCCTCTTAGCCTTTTCAACGGCCTTCTTGTATTCCTCGCTCACAGTGGGGTAACACTTCGTCATTTTCTCTGATTTCTACAAATATCAGATTCACATTAACATAAAAGTTTCAAAACAAATCAAATTTATTTTCAAAATTCAGATCCAAACTCAAATCGAAAATGAACCTTTCTGAGTGCAGTACTTTTGTCGACTTCAGTTAAATGAGAATAAAAACCCTACACACCACGCGATTGACACGAGCTGAGCACAAGCACTCTTGATGATGGGGGCAGATATAACGGAGAATGAAGAGAGGGAAGGTTCTAGAAGACTATTATTAGCCGTTGGATTATTTGAGATCTTGTGATTGGTGTTTGTTTTGGGAATGGACGGCTTTGATCTGGGCTGAAATTTTCTGATGTACGGCTGTGCATGTGGGGTTGGTGGGCAGATTGAAGAAAAAAAATTGCGTTTCTTTTTGGGAGGAAAAAACGTAGTTAAGATTTTATGGGAGAAATCGAATAGATATTTACCAAAAAGACGGGATGGCCTACTAAAATTGGATTTTTGAAATGACATGTTAATCCCACATAAACAAGGATATGAGATTTAATTTGCTGCATTGTGAGTAACGTAAACTCTTGAATCGTCGACTACGTGATTGGTGTGGGTAACAAGAGCGTTTTTTAGTGGACGATGATGATGATCTTTTTGTATATAAACATTGTAAATGAAATAAAATTGGTAATTATAAACAATTCCCACACAATCTACCAAAAGTTAAAATGATTTTTACTAAAATACTTTGATTTCCAGTTCAAAAGTATTAAAAAATCAAACCTTAAAAAATTCATAAAATTTATTTTTTGTTATATTTATATGTAAATAGATCACATTATTATTTAAAATAATTGTGACAAATCATTTCTTACTTTCAATTTTAATTATAATTTACATGCTCATAAAATAATATCACGATAAATCAAAGTATCATAAATTTTAAATAAAGTTAAGACAATGATGGAAATTATATGTTTGTATCATGTTCATGTTGATTTTTTTTTTGTCAAACAAATTCAAATTTTATCATTATTTTTTAAAATAATATATTGAATCAAAATGTAAAACTGAGAATTTACAAAATTTAGTTTTGTAGTTTTATTAAAAATAATTATCAAAGTTAAATTCGTTTGACTCCCAAAAATCAAATAAAAACAAATATGATATCAATAATTGGACAATAAAAATCCCTTGAAATTTGAACAAACTGATCCACAAATTTTGAGCACAAGATTTTAACAACTTTCTGCAAACAAAATTATTTACTAATACAGTTTTTATTTTTATTTCTCAAAATGAAAATGATTAAAAGTGAATGACAATTACACTGCAACAACCGCATGGAATAGAAACAGTAGAGAGGGTGTTATTGTCATTTCAACTACCTAGTAAAATTATGGCAATTTTAATATCCCGGAATATATTATATATCTGTATTCACAGTGTGAACACGTCGAGGGAGAGAAGATTCCATCGCAGCAATGATAAAAGTACCGGTCTTGTCACGAGAACTTTTATCACCCGCGTTTGGTCAAAAGAAAGGAAACTGCACGTTGATTCTCCCTTGACCAAAAGCTGCAATGCCATTGGTTTTAGGCATCTAAAGAGGACAAAGGAATTTTGGAAAGTAATGTACTTTTTTTTTTTTTATGGATTTTTCACTATCTAGTGATTTTACTTGTGCATATTTATTAGTAGAAAGAAATATCTCTAACTATATCTTAAATAAACTGAAATATCTTTAACTATATCTTTAATAAACTGTTTTGTCTCCAATTTGTGAATTATAAATACTATTTTGCAAGTAAAAACTAAAAATCAATGTTTCATTTTATATCCTAGATAGGTATTTGTAAAAAAAATTTGCAATACAATATCAACACTCATTTCATTTTCATTGCCAAAAGAAGTCACTGTTATACTATCCCTTTTAAGATCATCCTTACCGTTGCTAAAAAATGTCACCGTTACGTTATCCCATTTAAGATCATCAAAAACTGTCATTCTAAAAGAGTGAAACCGTAAATGTAGCAAACGTCACACAAATTTATTTAATACCACAAAATTCCAAACTGGGTTGAGTCTGTGTATATATTTCTTATATGTTTATGTATATATGTAAGTGTATATTCCACTTAGACCTTAGGCTCTATCGCAGCAGTATTTAAGCAGGCTGTAGAAAGAATCTAAGAACTAGAATCACTAGTGCAAACTGATAGAAAATAGTTTAATAAATATTTGTATAGCTTTAAGACTTTTCTTTTGGTATATTAAGCCTGAAATAGGAGAAAAGATTACAAGTATTGAAATTTGAATTTCATATTCGTTAGTTATCAGTTTTTAAAAGTGGTTATCTGGATCAACTGAACTAAGTTTCAGATTCCAAGACTTTAAGAGACCATGTAAAAGCAAAAAAAAGAACTTACAACATTATAATTTTCGAACACAGCAACAAGAGGTGAAGCAAAATCTTGGCTCTTGTGATCCTTTTCATCCATGCTAGTTTCCTTACCAACATGCTAAGTACATCACCTGCTTGACTTTATTGTTTCTTCAATTTTATCTGTACAATGCAATTTTAATTGAAAAAGGAAAAAGAAATTAAATATAAGCAGAAGCTGGTGATTGAATAAGGAGTGAATAGTTTTAAAAATTAAAAGAATTGCACGTCTCAAGTTTAATAAGCATGCTGAATAAGTATAGGTTTAACATGCACCCCATCTAAATTCATATAAAAATAATGAACTGTGGTCTTCAATTAGCCAAAAAAGCATAGCAATAATAATTGCTTGTTGTTACGGCGCCTTGTGCCTGATACTTGCAGATGTCAATTGGTAGGCGTTTAAACATTTTAAACGGACAGATATTTAAGCATTAATCCTACCCTTTTCGTTTATAACAATAACATAATAAACACAAGCTAATAGTTGAATGTGTTAATAGTCAATAGATAAGCAATAGAAAGATCAATATGCAGCAGTAGATCATTGCACAAAGGTCAAGAGAGTCTGAATTCACACACAGAATGCAGTGCTTTGATTGGGACAACTGAAAACTTCAGATTAAATTATGTGGTCAGAGTTATAATTACAAGAGAATTTATCATTTTTAACATATTTCGACCATTAACAATTAAAAGATCAGTATCTCAAATAGGTAAACAAACTCTAATCAACCGTCAACACATTGGATTCCAAAAGGCACGTTATGGCATAGATTTCAAGTAAACTACAAACCAAATCAAAGTAGTAAAAGGACCATTATTCAGTGCAGTAAGAGACGGCAATGACCATTATCGTGAATATTCCATTATCAGTAAAACTATAGAGCAATTTATAAATAGAACTGTTAGAAAAACTATCAATGTTCAATCAATGAAATACAAACAAAAAAAGAAAACCCGTACCTAGCAATATCAGATAGGTTTCACTCCCCTGCAAACATACGCAGAAAAATGACATCTATCTGGATTCCATCTTAACCAAAGAAGATCTACCACTTTAATCCTATTTTCAAGCATTGTAATTGACATCCATAGATGGCCCAAGTTCAAGCCTAAGCTCAAAGTGCAAAACATGTGAAGCTTATGGTAAAGAAGTGTTATGTTATGGTGACCTCAAGAAATTCATCATATAAAGGGTAGGACACAGCAACAATCCATAAGCATAAGAGATACAACTATCCTCAGGGAGCAATTAGAGGACATGAATGCACAAGAGCTTTGTTTATTCTTTATTGATCCAAAAACACAAAATGTGTTGTTTATTACCAGGAAAGTTGATCATGGCAACAAAAGCATTTATGAATTATGATCCATCACTACCATGAAACTAGAGGCATGCACAAGACGTGTAATTTCTATTTCACAAAAATCAGTTTTAATAACTTAAACCTTAAATCATATACCATAAAAGGCAAAGGCCATGCATGCACAAGACGTATAATTTCCTCTTCAGTAAAGTTAAACTAGCTTTAAACAACAGAAGATGCCATGAAAGGTATAGGTTATGACAGACATGAGCAGAAAAGTTAAAATCAGTGCTAAGAACATGTGCATTCAACTAAACCAATGAAGAACAAAGATTCAAATCGTTCTAAGGCAATATGAGTTCCCTTCTTCAAGCTTGAAATTAATCAAACTAATTAACTAAACATCATGATTTTGTAGCTTTACCTTTGTCAAGCAAACGAAGGCAATGATAAGTATGGATTACTAAACGCAAACAAGGAATTATCCAAACAAGTAATATAGACTACTTACACATGCTATTTTAACGCCTAAAACATAGAATTTTAGCTACTTTGGATCATAAGATCAGGTAGATATTGAGACGTGATGTTATAAGCTACTTTTTATGAATAGAAACAACATACTAACATCTTATTCAATTGATAATCATGTCAGATCGAACTTGTTACGCTGATCCTCCAGATCACCATCCAGCTCACTCTCATCAGAAACACCTTCAGCAGAACTGAAACTTAAGGAAAATAGACCAAATCCAGATTGCCTTACTAAATAACAAAATCCACACTGTTACATAATTTTCTTTCCTGCAATTTCTCGGCGACCAAACGGAAACTATAATTGAATAAGAAAATGAAGATTTTAACCAAAGATCCAGCGTAATTGAATTTTATTGCATAATTTAAGAAATAATGGAATTTAATTGAGCATTACTACTCTTTATTGGTGATTATCAGCGGTTTCGGCTTTTCTTGGATCGGAAACGACGTAGCTTCAAGGTGTGCATTCCTCCTTTTCTGTTGCCGTGATAATGACTTGTTTGGATGAAAAAAGGCAAGTAAGCGGAAATTCTTGAAGCATTTGATGCTTTGTTTTTAATTGGTTGAAAAAAAAAAGAAAAAGAGGTTATTAATGGGATCTTCTTACTTTGCCCTTTCTTTTTCAAATATTAACACCTTTACCTGTCATGTCAAAACTCCTTTACATGGCCTTTTTTTTTTTTTTTTGGAATAATCCTTTACATGGTCTTCGGTAATTCAATTTTTTATTATTTATTGCTTCCAAATAAAAATTAAATCTTGTTTTATTTTTTATCGTTAATTTCATTGCATAAAATCAGTTAAGTTATTCGCAAGTTATTTAAATCAGATTAAATTTTTTTTAATTTACTTTGTTCATTATCAAGCCAAATTAAAATAAATAATATTCAATTTCAGAAGTTCATAAGTTTATTTGAACTTAATCAATTTTTATTTTTTTAATATTTTAATATATGTGTATATAAGTTATTTAAAATATATATAAGTAAATAATTAAAATATAATATTTAATGTTAATATTTATAAATTTTTAAACTTAAGTAAGTTTAATAAGATGAATTCAAATGATTTAATTTAATCATTAATCAAATTTAAATATAAAAATTTAAAACTTTAATCAAACTTGAATTAAGTTTTAAGTTTTAAAATTTCAAATAAAGCTAAACTTAAACTTTACGCTATATCAAATTTGATTATGTTCCTATTTTGTCTTTGTTTATCTATAAAATAATTTAACTAATTTGTTTGTTATTTCTCTATTACTATATTCGATGAATTGATAAAGCAATTTTGACAAAAAAAAAAGGTAATTAAAAGTAATTTTGTCTTTTTGATTGTTGAATAGCAAATTTATTTTTCTTCTTTCTCTCAAACTCGTGAAAAGAAATTAAGGTTTTGCTTGGTATGAAAAATAGTAGTGAGTGAGATAAAAAAATTTTTAATTTAATAATTAAATTATAAAGTAATAAAATTTAATAATAAATTAACAAATTTTGTATTTTTATTTTTTTCGATTCTTTTTATCAAACAAAGCTTCAAAATATATTCTTCACTATATTTTTCTTAATTTTAAAATTTTCTCTAAAAATACATAAATATATGAATGGTTTTTTGTTATTGAAACTAAGGCCACAAAAAGTTTTTATGCCAATAATTGGTCAACCCATAGAAACATGCATGGCCTCACTGACCAGTGCGCTGTCACCAAAGATTACGTTTTTTAAGTTGTGATTACTATTACTTTGCCGGCAATGTTCCAAGGCCACATGGCTGTTTAACAAAATCAGTGGGCAGGGATCGCCCGCTTCCATTCAAAGTGCACATGGCATGGTTATATTTCCCCCCTATTTTCTCCGAATTATAAATATTAAAATTAAAATTTATTAAATATAAAATAATCAAATTAAAAGAAATTAATGATTCAATAATTGATTTAAAGTGAGTTGATGTTTAATAATCAATCAATGTCAACGAATTACATAGAAAATGAAATGTGTCCAACCTTTCAATATCTAAATAATTAAAAAAGAATATTATATGTTTATAATATTCACACACACACAAAGGCAATACACCTTTTGTCACACAATTATGTATTATTATTAGAATAAATTTACTTATGAAAAGGTCATTTCTAACCTTATTTCGGACCCAAAAAATGGGTTTATTTTGGCATAATAGTTTTCCTTTTATTGTCACACAAATTATCCATTTTGTTAGAAAAATTGTGATTTGTGACCATATATTTTAAAATACAAGGGGATTACTAAAATCCCCATTAAAGGCAAAAGATTTTGAATTTTATAATTTTTTAACAAAAAAATCTTTATTTTATTTATTTTTGCAATTATTTCCTAAATTAAAGAATAAAAATGTGTTAAATTTTAAATTAAAGCAAATATTGTATTATTAGTATTTTTTAGTGTGAGATATTATTAAGTGAATGATGTGCAAACTAACATTAATATTGCTGATTAATCATTTTATTTACATGAGGGTAAAATTTTTTAAATTTATATTTGAAATAATAAAAATTTAAATTTAATAATTGAAACTAAAAAGACAATATTTTTTAACAGATCATACAATTGTTATTTTTTACTTAATATTTTTCTCAAGAAATTATCAATCTATCAAATGAAATCTTAATTTATAATCAAATAATTACCGTTATATTAATTGATTTATTGTTTGAACACTTCTAAATTCGATCACAAAACAATTATCAACATAAAATTTAATTATATAATTATTTTAAATGATTGTTAATTTTTTAAAATTATATTAATAATCAAATATTATAATAATATAATTAATTATTAAATCATTGAATGATTAATCAATAAATTATAATTTTAATTAAATAACTTTTTTTCTTATAGATAGTAAAATAGTTTAAACTATAATTTTAAAGTCTTTATTGGTTTACCATTTTTTGTTTTTTAATTGTCTAAATGTTGACCTAATTTTTTTTTTTTGATGAAAAAATTTTGAAGATAAATAGATTGTTCAATTATTTAAATCAAAATAAAATATATTATATTTTAAATCTAAAATAGATAATTATAAATCATATATTAAAAATGATCCTAATAAATAATCACTAATAAAATTTAAACTTAAAACGATTTTATAAAAAAAGATGAATTTTAATAAATTCGATCAATCTCTTGTAGGTTAAATTTTATATCTTATAAACGTTAAGAAAAAACCCTTATAAAAATAAATTAAAAAATAAAAATAAAATATCCTCCGAGTGAGTCCCCTGGGGCATCAAGCAAATGGCAGGTGGTACCGTGGATTACGATCCAACGGATAAAAGGAATGGACCAGGATTAATCTGAACCATATATTGAATATATATCAACGTGGAGCACATCGGAAATATCACGATGAAGGAGCAAACCGAAGAGAGGGACCCTACAAGAGTAGAAGAAAAGAACTCGAAAAAGCAGGAGAAAAGCAAAGGGTAAAATCCCGTAATAAAATGAAAATCCAAGGGCAAGATTAGTAAGTTCACATTATTTAAATGACGGCAACGCAGAATCGATAGAAAGGAAGAGAAAAAAAAAAAAGTTAACGCTTCCAAACAAGCCAACCAAAATAGCCCTCTCTTCTCTCTTCCTTAAAGCCGCTATTTTCTTCTTCTTATTTCATTGTGGTGTTTTGTTTTCCCTTGGTTTTTTTTGTTCTTATCTTATCATCGCACAATCTCGTCTTCACAGATTCGTAATCTTCTCGATCCCTCACCCCCCAACTCAACTGTGAGTCGTTTCTCTCTCTGTTTCTCTCTCAATCTGAAACCCTAAATTTCGAATTACGCCCTTCGATTATTTTTTTAAAGATCCCTGATTTATGTTCTCCAATCTGAATTTTACGAAGTCTTGATTCATTGATAGTCTTTCTTTCTTTTGTTTGTTTGCTTTTCTTGATTTATTGTATTGCATGTAGGTAATTATCGATTCGATATTGGGTTGGGAATTCGATTGTTAATATTTTGTTGGAGATTTGATTAGGTGGCTTTGGTATGTTGATCTACTAAGTGGCCGAGGTTTCTTTTGGTGATTGCTATATTTTTTCTGGAAATTTGGGGATTTGTGTTGTTAAAGTAGGGAATAGGGATTTCTAGGGTTTGATTTGCGATTTACATAAATGAAGTGTAAGGTTTTGATTTTGATTTTTTTTAGGGTTTTGTCATTGTAATGTAATGGTAAAACAAAATGGCGATGAAGAATTTGTTTATTATTTGTTTTGGTAATTCAATTGAGGTTTTAGTGATGCTTGGTTGTAGAGTATTATTAGTACTCTTTCGTTTATTCAATTATTTATTTGTTTTGAGGGTTCAGGCGATCATGAGTGACGAGGGAGAAAGGACCTGCCCCCTTTGCGCGGAGGAGATGGATTTGACTGATCAGCAACTCAAGCCTTGCAAATGTGGTTACGAGGTTTGAAGCAAATTACTCTTTCTTTTTCTCTTTTACATTTGTTTGGCAATTCAAATCAGAAAAATAAGTAAAAAAGATAATTAAAGTGAGAATGGAAGAAAGGTGGAGAATTAACGTGTGTCATGGGCCTTATCTCTCTTGATCTTGGTGGCAGATCTGTGTTTGGTGTTGGCATCAGATAATGGATATGGCTGAGAAGGATGAGACAGAGGGGAGGTGTCCAGCATGTCGTAGTTCGTATGATAAAGAAAGGATTGTAGGGATGGCTGCTAATTGTGAGAGGTTGTCAAGCTCCCACACATCTTATTCTCATTAAAGATTTTGCAATATTTACCCGCTGTTGTCTCATGTGTATATATTTTTCCCTAAGCAGGTTGGTTGCTGAAATTAATTTAGAGAGAAAAATGAAGTCACAAAAGGCAAAGACTAAATCATCCGAAGGAAGGAAGCAACTGAGTAGTGTACGAGTTATTCAAAGGAATCTTGTTTACATAGTTGGGTTGCCGCTTAATCTTGCTGATGAAGATGTACTCATTCTTTCTATCCTCCACGTGTGCATTTGTGAGCTAACTGTTATACTTGTATTATGACCAAAACGTGTATATCTTTTGTGCAGCTTCTCCAACGGCGAGAATATTTTGGTCAGTATGGGAAAGTCCTAAAAGTATCTATGTCTCGGACTGCAGCTGGTGTTATTCAGCAATTTCCAAACAATACATGTAGTGTGTAAGTGCAGAATATCTTGTATTAGATTTTAAATCTTTCAAATATTATGACATACTTATATTGCTTTTTAAATCTCTAATAGGAGCATATTATTTCATGTAGTTAGATTTCTTTGGAAAGGAAACTTTATCTTGTTATTTTGAAGATTTTTATCTTCCTGCCTCCTTTATGGTTCTCTGTTATTACAACTTCTTTTTGAACTTACATTTGTTTACACTGTGTACAGATATATTACTTACTCAAGAGAAGAGGAAGCAATTCGTTGTATCCAGTCTGTACATGGGTTTGTATTGGAGGGTAGACCATTAAAGTATGAGAATTTTTTTATGGAGTTTTTTCTTTTGCTAGTGGTTGGATGCACACTCTTTTCTGGTTATCATCTCTAATATTTGGAATATTCATTTCAGGGCATGCTTTGGTACAACAAAGTATTGTCATGCATGGCTGAGAAATGTGGTATGCCTTGGAGTGATTTTTGGTTCTTTTGTTTTATGAATTGAAATTATTATTTATTTATTGCTGCTAGGTTTAGAAACTAATATATCAACTGTAATTGAGGAATTTTTTGGAGAGTTTCAGCCTTGCAGCAATCCAGATTGTCTATATTTGCATGAGATTGGTTCTCAAGAGGATAGTTTCACAAAAGATGAGATTATATCAGCATACACAAGGTATATTCATTTTAAGTTTGCTACACTAGTATAGCTGTCATCTCTATTTCTTCTTTTTTATTTTGTTTATATTTGCATGAGATTGGTTCTCAAGAGGATAGGTTCACAAAAGATGAGATTATATCAGTATACACAAGGTGTATTTATTTTAAGTTTGCTACTCTAGTATAGCTGTCATCTCTATTTCTTTTCTTTTTTTTTTTAATATTTTAGTTCATTTTTTGTTGAGTTTGCATGTAACTTTCTTTGTGAGATGTAGAAATCCTACTTGAAGATGCTTTCTGGTTCAAATGAATGCATGCATCGATTATAACTTCATGCTTCTTTTGTTAGAGAAAGCTAATTAGAGCTGTCATATGCACATATTACTTTTGTAGTAGCCCATCAGGTAAAGGAAGGAAGATAGAATGCCATTAAGAAATGTAACTCCTCCAAAGGGCTTTTTGGCAGCTTTTATTTCTATTCAAGCCAATTTTATTTATTTGGTGTGTGGATTACTATCATTAAAATAATGCTTCAAATGGATTATTTCTTTCCATTGCTGCTTCCTGGATCCTCACCCTTTCTTTTGCAAGCACCAAGTGTCAAAAAGTTTTCTCTTTCTGTTTCTCTCTTTAAAGATGGGTTAACTATTGTAATCCTTGCTATCCAAATATGAGTTTCAAATCAAAATTTCGATTTGTTGGCTCTGTTTTTAACTTTTTATTGCAACATTTCAATTCTAAGCATGCATTCCAGGTTCTCCATGAATTTTTAGTAATGTCTTCTCTTGGTTGATTAATAAACTTACTTAGTTGTTTTAAGGAGTAGGGTTCAACAAATAACTGGTGCAACAAACAATATGCAATGGCGTGCTGGGAATATGTTACCTCCTCCAGTGGATGATTATTGCCCCAACAGTTCTGCTTCTGCAGCAAAACCCATTGCAAAAAATGCTTCAAATGTAAGTTCATGTTTTTCAACTCCCAAACGAAAATGGCAAGTTAAATTATTACATGAAGAATTTAGGAAAATAGTTAAGAGCAGACCTTCCCCACATTGTTTGATAGTTTGATTGGTTTATCTTGGGTCATTGAAAGAAGAATATGTCAAATAATAGGGTGGGTGGGTTGAGGTGATGGGTTAAAGCAACGTGTATGCTTGGCTTTGGCTTCTGCACCTGACTTGGGTTGTGATTTTGTATATTGTACAGAATACAACAGCAAGCATTCCTAAAGATTCTTCCCCAAATGGTAGCTCTGTTAGATCAATTGCTCTTCCTGCTGGAGCATCATGGTATGTCTTTTAATTTGTTATCTCTTTGTTATGTTAATTTCTGATGCTAAAAATTGGAATCGTTCTGCCAGGGGAATGCGTGCTTTAAACCAGCCGCAATCGGCCAGTTTACCATGTTCAAATGGAACTTCTAAGCAGAAATCCGATTTAGTTAGCAGTACATTACCATTTTCATCTGCAGTAACAAACACAAATCAGGTTTGTACGTTACATGATGGTGTTATAAAGAAGCCATCTGAGGAGATCCGAGCTATGCATATGAAGTGTAAACCTGATTTGTTAAAACCTTTAAAAGATAATGCTGGTTTTGATGGTCAAACTACTGCACTAGAGAAACCTACTTCACCTGACAGGGTTTCTGGCTCTAAATCATCGAGCTGCCATTTATCTTGTCCGCCAGCATCCAATTATAATGACCAGGGCACTAATATACCATCAACTGTTACAAGCTCCACCTTTGACCATACTGGGCAGTCTTTTATTTCCTCTAGTGAGAAAGCTGGGGGTATTTCATCTACTGTTGGGGAGATACAGAGCTTGTGCTCTTATATGTCAACATTGACCTTAGATAGGAATGTCTTGAATGGACATTCTGATGTAGTTAGACCAAGCAGTTCTGCTTACCATCATGGATCAAGCTGCTCTCCTACTAATAAGGGGTTACAACAATGTTACATTGAGCACTATCTAGAACCTTTAAGTTCACCAGCTGCTGGGAGATCTGTGACATCTCCGAATGGGGTGTGTGTTTCCAAAGAGCAGTCTGATTGGAGAACCGATATACAAACTCAAGTGGCGGCGAATACAAGTTGTGAAGTTGAGGAAGACATATTGTCTTTTGATAATCAAAGACTCAAGGATCCAGAAGTTATTAGCCGTTCAAGTTATGTGCCTAATTCACCAATTTCACTCCATTTATCTAATCATTCTAGGTCACATTCTTTGCAACACAGTGAGAATTTTGGGGCCGTTAATTTGAATGCTGATACTCTTTTTGTAGATAATAAAGTTAGTGACAGTTTACGGCTATATGGATCTAGTGTTTCTTCTTTATCAAATGGATACCCTGAGAAGTACATAAGCAGTAGTATTGGTTCTGATATTACCACAGAAGGCTCGCTTCTGCTTTCAAATGAAGGGAAAGGGAAACAGATGGGAAGATTACTTGGTAATGCTGAGAGCAATGCTGCTAAAGATACAGGAGAGAGCAGCATAATTTCGAATATTTTGTCGCTAGATTTTGATACATGGGATGAGTCCCTAAGTTCACCTCAAAACTTGGCTAAATTGTTGGGTGACACTGATAAGCAGCCCAATTCTCTCAAATTATCTGGTTCATGGAAAGCACCGAATAACAATCAGTCCAGATTCTCTTTTGCAAGACAGGAGGATTCTAAATATCATCCTTTTGATGTTGAGTCCTCATTTAGTGTTTTTGGGCAAATACCACAGAACCGCCCTTTTAACCAAGATTTTGGAGAAAACAGGGATCGCTATCTAAATAATTTTGGAATTTCTACTAGTTTTTCTTCCAGTAACTTTGAGGAATCAGACAATTTTAATGGCAGTCCTTCAGTTTTCTCTTCTAATAAGCTTTCTGGTAAGTCTCTAGGAATTTACTTTACTCCTATCTTAGTTCAATCCTGCTACTGAACGTAGAACTTTACTCATGCTGTCGGAATGTTGAGTTGAGTGGTATCTGTTGTTTTTAAATTATAATCATGCAACACCCATGCTCATAATGTGATCTTTGATGTCATTACTGATAAATTAGTTTGTTATAAATAGCTTTTTAATGTTTAATTTTGTATGCACTGTTCCTTCTTTGCCTGGAATTTGTTTTTTATGACTTAAAAGTACCCCAAGTGACTTTTTTTTTTTATTACTTTTCTGTCTACACTGAGCATTGTTTCTTTATGTATTTTTTTTAGATTTTTGTCCAAATTTGGCTTTGATTTAGTTCATAATGTTTCGAAGCAGTTTCAAGAGCTCAAATTTCAGCTCCACCTGGATTCTCTGTTTCTAGCAGGGCACCACCTCCTGGCTTTTCTTCTCATGAGAGAGTAGACCATGTTTTTGACGCATCTGGTAAGTTCCTTTTTTATTTTTTGGCTTGCAATCTATGGGAGTTTCATTGTTGGCAAATTGACTACTGCTTTTTTGTTTAGGAAATCACTTAACAGACGCATCATCCCTGTTAAGAAATTCTTATCAGTGTCCTGCAAGTGGTGGTATTGGCGGGCCTGTTGATATAGAATTTATGGATCCAGCAATTTTGGCAGTTGGTAAGGGTAGACTTCCGGGAGTGCACAACAATTCAGGCTTTGACATAAGATCAAATATTCCTCGACAGTTAGGTCCCTATGAAAATGAGGCCAGATATCAATTATTGATGCAGAAATCTCTTTCTTCTCATCAGAACCTAAGATATGATGTTGGGGATAGCTTTTCTTCTCTTAATGACTCCTATGGAATTTCTTCTAGGCTGATGGATCAATCACAAGTGAACGATATGTCTCCTTATGCACAATTGTGTCTCCAACAGTCAAGGAATTCACATATGTCAAATGGTCATTGGGATGGATGGAATGAGGTTCAGGGTGGAAACAGTCTTGGTGTGGCAGACATACTCAGAAATGAGAGACTGGGATTTAACAAGTTTTATTCCGGTTATGAAGATTCAAAGTACAGGATGGGTGATCTATATAACAGAACATTTGGGATGTGATTGTTCCTGGAATCGACTTGTTGATTATTGGCAATGCTATGCTAAGAAGTAGAATGATTTTGTGCAATCTTGGTCGCACATTGAGGATGGATTGTTGACTTGTAATTGGTCTCCTTTGGCAGCCTCATGCCGGATCAAACTTCTGATAACTTGGGCCAAAAAGGTGGTGTCTGCAATCGAGCAGGTAAGTAGGAATTATTTCAAGTTATTGTTATTGTTATTAGTATTTTTCTGCATGCCTGTTGTGTCTGCAGGTGCATCCTGCCAAAGGTTATATCTTGTGTTAATTGATTGGGGTTACCTCAAATATTGCAGGTGAAATGAGCTTCTGCTATTTCTGATATAATTGATTGCACTGCAGAGTGCTGTATATGATCTAACTGACTGGCAGGTTGATCCTCTTCTGATGCTGAATGTGGTTGCTCTTGCGCTCTGAGAACTAAATAGATTGGAACCCATTTCTGCCTTTTTTTTTTTTTACCTGTTATTTGGATGGGGGATGCTGTACTTCTACAGCCCGTTGACATGTTTAGATATTAATGAATTTGATTAAATAGTCAGTATTATGTGTTTCATAGATGGATTTACAATGGTGGCAGCAGGCCCCCCATTTAAATCCCTCATCTTTTTTGGTAGTGTTGTGTAACTACAAAAAGGCTAGTCTAAGGAAAAGTATTTTGCTCCCAAGTGGAATCTCGCTCTAAATTGACCTGTTCAATGCTTGGTATTATACCATTTTATTTGAAAATCAATGGGTTGTGTGACGAGAAAAAATTAAAGTTGAAGATGTGAGAGTGTTTGAGATGGTCTGAAAATGTCAAACGCAGGTTTATCTAGAAACTGAGTTTTTTTTTGGATTTATTAAAGATGTGTATGCGAGTAATAAAAAAATATGATATGATGGATAAGAAAGTAAATGAGAGTTTTTGATAGAAATGATTGACTCATGAAGATTTAAAATTTTTTAATCTAAACTTCGGCTTTTCATTTAGTCAATTTTGAATCGAGTTACGGAATTTAAGATGTTGGGTTGAATGAAAATATTCAGGACTTTGAGAATAAATTTGTCATAGCAAAATCTAAAATGTGTATATATTATGTTTAATTCAATAATAAAAATAATATCCAAACGACCGATCTGGTAATCCAAAGTCTGTTAACTACAATGCATAAGCTAATATTTATTGCTGCTGGAATATGCATGTTCATTCAATTCTGTTGGACCTGAAGAAAACCCAGGTAGGGTTGTTTGAGTTCATGTTTGTGTGCGAAATGGGCACTGTTATTGTTCAAAATTGTTCGCTTATAAGGAACAAGGGAACACTTTGCTTAGCATTGCATCTGTTTTGGGGCTTTGGGCGTAGGGAACATGGTAACATTTTCTTTTTCTCGTGTTTTCATCTGGTTAAATGTTGGCCCTTCCCTTCTCACGCACGCAGTCTTTGATCGTTTTCCCACAAAATCATTTATTTAAGTTTAGTTGATAATAATTGTTTTTAAATAATGCAAACAAACAAAAAAAAACTTATTATACTCTTGCCAAAACAGTTTCTCTATTATTGAAGACAAAACAAAAGGTAAAGAAAAAAAAAATTGAAACACATACTCTATTGGGAGTGAAGCAACATAAAGATGACAGGTGGCTTTACTATTCCTAAACAATACTACTTGAAGAAACCTTTCGGCCTCCTTAAAACAGATCACTGCCAGTCTGCTACCCTCTATAAGTACACATACATAGCCAGGTCAGGCAAGGTTTAATGGATTCGTTTTCAACTTTCAATTCACTTCAGCTTTCATAGATTGGATTCGTTTGAGTAGGAATCTTGTTCTCCGATTATTATTATTATAAAAAAAAAAAAAACTACAATTGAACCAAAGACAAAAGTTAGAAGAAACATGTGGGTACCAATCATCAATACTTCTAAGAAACAAGAACAACAAAAATAAAGTTACCCACCAATTGGGGTGTCTCATTTTATGCCACACATTAATTATTTTGTTTTTTTGGAATGCATGAAAAAGAAAAATATCTTCAAAAATCAAAATGCAACCCCACTGGCTCTACCCCCTACAAAGGCCAAAATCCCCTAGCCCCAAATTTAGAGGAGGGGGTACCCTTGGATGAGCAATGGCGATGGGTTACAGTAAATGAAACCTTGGCAAAAATTATTTAGCCATAAAAGTAAAATAATAATAATAATAAAGTTGTTGGGAAATCCGTTCCGTAAACGTTGAAATAATGCATTTTACACTAAGAGTAAAAATATTCACTTTATCAATGAATTATTAATTTAATGGTTTTGAAATCGATTTTAAAATTAAAAGTATTGAATTCAAATCAATTGTTAATTTAATGACGTTGAAATTGATTCTAAAGTTAAAAATATTGAATTCAAACTTCAATTCTAATTTTTTTTTTTTAAATCACCTTAGTCATGAAATTTGACAAATGGTTTAAATAATCCAATAAATATACATCATTAAATTTAACAATTTGTATATTTATATGATTTTCTTTTCATAATAAATAAATATAAAATATAAAAAATATTTTTTAAAATTTTTATTAAATACATATATACTAAAATTAATATGTCTATGTCACCTCCCAATTTGGACATTACAATCCACAAAAGAACAAATCATTTTCTAGATATCTTGTCCTAATTTCATAGCCTTGTTTTTTTTTTTTTACAAGATTTAAGGAATTTTTATTTTTCTTGGAATATACAAACCCCCCCCCCCCTTCCATCAAGGGGATAATAGTCTTTTCCTCTCAATTTTTTTTAAACCAAGTATCAGTTTCATCATAGGAATGACTTGCCTTCTAATATTCTTAAGCTTTTAAAATGACATTAAACTTTTTGAAATGATTGTATGAAAATGAAGGGATGGCATGGACAAAACAATTAATGTGAAAATGAAGCTTCACATTTCAGAATTACTTTCACATCAAATTTTGAATTGACTCAACAACTTAATTAAAGTATTTTTCTTCATCATTCATTCCATTTCAATTTTTTGCATTATGATTTGAGTTTTTTTTTTTTTTAAGGAGATGAGACAAAAGCTTTATATTTATAAAAATTAGTATTATATCGAAATATAAATAATATATTAATATTCATAAATCATTTATATTTAATTTAAATAAAATTTAAATTCGATTCAATCATTGTCTAATTAAGTTCAAGCTGTTCGACTTATCAAATGAATTAAATTTAAATATTTTAATGTCTAATTCAAATATCTTGTAAATTTAATTGAGTTCTTAAATTATAATAGATTTTATTATTTTAATTAAAAATTTATTATTATATATATTAATTTGAGTTTAAATTCAAATTTTAATATATAATTAAATTTAAAATTGAGAAAAAAATTAAACTTATTTTTTATTAAATGAATTAAATTGAACTAATTTAAATAATTTAATTTTTATTTCGAGTTAAATTTAAATTTAAAATTTAAAAATCGTTCAAATTCAAAAAAAATTTGAATAATAAATTTTAAATTAAACTAAAACTTTTTACTATTCAATTGGACTTTGTTTTTTCTGTATAAACCCTAAAGAGAAAAATATCTTTCCATGGCCGGCAAGTGGCAGTTGCAAAGAGGAAATAAGAGAGAGGGATGATTTTTTGTGATTGATTTGACAAAAGATAGAAAGAAAGATGCAATAAGCACATGAATAGTCAGTCAGTAACATCAGATTCATGTGTTTGTACAGTTTGATGTAATAGCAACAATTTTGGAAAATTTTTAATCATTTATGTTAACGTGGCTCTTCTGTCACCAATCAAATTTGAGACCCATCCATAATGAAATTCTGATGCCATCCAATCATCTTTCATGGTGACATTGCTAGGTCACCTACCACCATTCTTGCTAGCTCATCAAGAAGCATATGCCAATTGCCATTGCCTTTTTTTAATTTAATTTCATCTTTCGAGTGGTTGGCCAATCTTTTCCCAATTTCCTTTCGAAGCGAAGATTTTGTTTTCTTTCATTTGGTTTTTTCAAGCAAAAGATCAATTGAAAAAAAAAAAAAAACTATAAATCCTTAAAAGTTTTAGACAATCATTGAGGTAATTTTTTTTTGTCAATTTTATATTTAATAATTTAATAATTTATATTATATAAAATATTAATAATTATATATTTATATTATTTTTATATAAAAATTATTTATCATAATTTATATCGATATAAAAATATAAAAAATTATTATTATTAAAAAATTTATATTAATTAAAAATAAATATTATATCAATTAATAAATTTATAAAATTCATAATTTAAATATCCAATATTTAAAGCCTAACGGTGACATTAACCCTCACAAGAAAGTCGAATAGGCCTTAATGCACAAACAGGAATCAAATTAATCAAATTAGCACTTTCTTGACAATGATGCACGTATCCAACAAGAGCATACTTTCCTTTTTGGTTTATCAAACATGTCCCAAGTGTCAAAGTGTATCGAATCGTCATACAATTATACAATTAAACTTAAAAGACAATCGCTGTTATTGTTGCGTTTCCACTGAAAATTGTAGAGAAATGAGGCTAAGGTGGTGCCTGTGGTGGCTTCATCGGAAAATAGGTTAGCGGAGTGTTGGTGGCGTTGGCGGTTGAGGAGCTGAAGCATAGATCATGGGTCGTTGGCTTGAGAGGTTTTGACGGAAGAATGGCAGCAGCGCGAGGGGTGGCCGAGAATGAGAATCCTGATGATGCTGCAGTAGAGAACAGTGGCATTGGCCTAGCACTGACCTGACCATGCATTTGCCACGCCCAATCGGGGAGACTTTGCGGATGACCTAATTCAACTCTTTTCACCATTGCTCTTTCCTGCCAAACAAATCAAGATCTAGGTTATAATACATAACCTCTGAGTTTGTTGAAGAGGCAGCAAAAAGATGGAATGAAACAGAAAGTTTTCTACCAGGACATAAAACCATGTTAAATGAGACATCATGTCCATGAGATAAAGTTATTAAAGCATGCAGCCATTGTTTTGTTTCTTTTTAGTTAGTGACGTGCTAACATCTTGCTTATATATACAAATGTATATATATATATATGATAATATTGAGATTATAACATATAGGCCTGAAAATATAGCGACTGACATCTTATATGACCATGCTACCTACTATTAACATTCCAATCTATGACAAATTCTTTTCACATAGAAATAAATTCATTTCAGTAGCAAAATTTAACAAGTAATAGGAATTGATTGGGATGAGGATGTTCACTGTTTTTCGGTTCAATGTCCAAATGATGAAAGGACTGAACAAGGTTTAAAGATCCATAATCCGAGCGATGAGGTTTACCTCACTAGGCAAGTATGTAGGATATACGTTATTCCAGAATTTAGGCTGATCAGAAGCCCCCACTTGCCCCTTGAAACTTGGAGCACCCACTGTTGCAGCAGCGGGGTTCCCTGCCTGCAAAAGGAAATAATGGAGAACATGATCAATACAGAGTCAAGATGCTTGATTGTCATCCAAGCATGCCACATATAATTCTTCAAGCTAGATAAAGGCTAACAGATTAACACCATCTCATCCAAATGCTCACGAAGGGCGTCAATATTTAATAGTAGGTTGAAGAACGATAACATCAATGTGATGAACATACAAGAAAATTAGAATAATTCAATTCAAAAGTTACCCTCAAACTCTTCCCGCCATGCATGTCATAAAGGCCAGAATGGAAATGGAGACACCCCTCATTTTCCTTGGGACCATTGCCAACAGGTGGAGATATCCCCAGGTTCAGATCAAGGTTGTGACTATTGCCTGCATAAAGTTCATTTGAACAGAACATAAAAGAGCAGAATCACAAAATTTCTTCTTGAAGCATAACCATGATTTGAAGATTATTACAACATTACAGACACAGAATACAAAGCAAATGGTAGCAAATAATACCTTCATTACTGGTATCAAAGATCATCTCCGCTTTATATGTACTTGGCTCAAAGTTCGTGACCGCCTCCTTTCCATTACATTTGATAGCTGCCTTGTCATAAGCCCTGATTTCCAGAAAAATCAAAAGGTAGACATGTGTTGGATCGAAGCCTATTGAGGTTGAGAATTCAGGGTAATAAATTCAGTATCAGGTAGAGTGTAATTCATGATCATTAGGACCTTGCAGCTTCCACTTCACTGTCGAAGAGCCCCAGATAAATATACCTGCAGGCAAGCATCGTAATCCCACCATGAAACACCATCCCTAATTATTTTTTCTCTTTAAAATAGGCATCTTAGAATTGTTTTTCCATTCAAGAAAAATCAATTCTCAGATAGAAACCAAGAGGCACTCAAATGTTTAAACATCTGTACTCCTAAATGATAGTATGTTTAAACAAAATCTGAATTTCCACAAACAAGGGTCCTCACTTTTTTCCTAGGAATTGCCCCATCCGTGCTTCCCACCGGCCACATTTGTGCAGCGTCACTCCACGATACTTCGAGCTTCCCCTCGAAAAACCAGTACTCTGACGACGAAGTATGAGCACAAATTCTTCCTTTGTCAGATTCTTCATCTGTTCATCAACAAAAAACAGAATGAGACCCCAACTTAACTATCACTTCAAACAATTTATATCTTATACGGGTATTATCAATCAATATTTTCTACAACACTATCCAAATTCCAACCTGTTTCATATCATCCTCATAATCACCGAGATTGAAATTGATATCAGCATCAAGCCCTCGAAATTTAATAGCCGCTCGATCGTAGGCTCTGTGAATTCAACATGATCAGAATTTAGAAAAAACAAAGATTACCCAAGTTCAAAACAAATTCATCACAAACTCATTTAAGAAATGATTCACGTAATTTACCTAGCTGCAGCTTGTGCAGTGTCAAATCCACCTAAAAAAAATTTTAAATCCAACCGAAAAAAATTGATTAAAAAATTTCCAAAAATAGAAAAAACAAATAAATTTCCTTATTAATATTAAGCAATCACATCCATACCCAAATATACTTGTTTCCCGCAATCCCTGCAATAATAATAACAAAAATAAATAAAAATATAAGAAATCAAAAGAAATTAAGTTAAAACTAAAAAAAAAGAAAAATCAACGGCTTAACCGACCAAGTCAAAATTCAGTTACATCTCCAAAAGCAAATTAACCAATCAGAATTGAAAAAGACAGATGAAAAATTACCAAATATGGGATTCCCATCTTCCAGTTCTTCTATAGAAAGTAACTCCTCGGTACTGTGAGCTTCTGGAGCGAGGTCCTCTACGGCTTTTCTTCACCGTCTGTGACGGTTGTTGTTGTTGTTGCATCACCCCCGGATCAGCGGCTTCTTTTCTCTCGAACGAGAGATTGATCCATTTGTAGTTGTTATTAATTCCCGAGCTTTGCCCTTCAGAGCTTCCGAAATCGGCTCCAACTCCCTTTACCGGAAACAGTTCCTTACTAACCACCACGGCTGCCTCGTCGTTTTCGTACTCGATTCCTCCGCTTCCGACTTTGAGTATGTCGAAACTTAGAGTGAACGCACCTCCGTTGGTGCGTGTGGAGCACGACTCATCGTCGTCGTTGACGATTGACGAATTCGAGGTCCCAGATTCGTCCATTTGGTTTGCAGAACCTTCATTGAGCTTACTGGTAAAAGGAGCCGCCGAGTCGGGGCCCTGAGTCGACTCAATCGACGCGACATTGAGGTTAAGATCTAACATTTCGTCTTAACTTCTTGTCGAATTAAGCTTTAATTCAAAAACCTTTTTAAATAAAAAAAAAATCATCAACTTCTCAACTTCAAAAACAAAATCATCGGTCAGCGTTTCTTTTTTCTCTGAAGTAATCAAATCCAACGGCTGAGATCGATCCCGATCACAACACTTAACCGAATCTAAGAATTACGAACTTTACCAAAAAAGAGGACAAAAACTTCGGGTATTCTCTCTTCACGGGAGACCGAGGAGGAGAGGAAAGAACGAAAACGGCGTCGTAAAAACAAAGAAAGTTAAAATCAGGCTGGCATTATTGAATTACTCGGCGATCAGTTCATAAACACAAACATATGATTGCTGACCGACTGATTCCATTACAAAGAAGAGAGAGGGAAATGAAACGTATGAGAGAACATTACAGAAGCGAGACGCCGTTTTGAAGAAGACAGTGGAATATATAAACATTTTCTCTTTTGGACACCGGTTTCGCCGGTTACCATTCTTTAAATATTGTCAAGATTTTTTCTTCTTCTCCTTCGGTGTGGTCTCGCGGATGGGAACAGCAGTCTATAATATTTAACCGTACATGTAAAAATAAATAAATAATTGACTCTTCCTTTTTTTTTTCAATAATTGTTACTATCATTAATTTTTCTTTTTTTTCTTATAGATTTAATACTTTGTAATCATTACAATTTGTAAATAAAAATAATAACTTATCACTTTTTCTCATAAAATTTGTTTTAAAATATCTCGATATAAAGATTGAAAAAATAGTAGTTATGAATAAAAATATATTATAATAATAACTATACGCTTTGTTTTATTTTCATAGTCTATTTTTTGTTTAATATAAATATTTAAAAATAAAATACATTTAGTATTTTATGCATCAAAATTTTTAAATTTTTGACTTTTAAGAATAATTACAAAATGTAAAAAAGGAATTAATTGCTAATAATGATGTGGGTTTCAAATAAATTTGATAATTTAAAATATAACATAATAATAAAATATGAATGTAATATGAATAAAAAATATAAAAATGATATGATTTAAAATTTTAATAATAATTATATATAAATTTAATAAAAATATATATTTTATATTTTTATATTGATATAAATTATAATGTTTAATTTTTATATAAATTTTAATATTTTATATAATATAAAAATATAAATTATCAAATTTAATTTTAAACATTAAATAATTGAATGTTATACAGATACGTATAATAATATATGAGAATAATAATAACGACAAAATGTTTCTTTTTTTTTTTTAGGATAACAACAATATGTCTTGTGCTTCTAAAAAAACTGTTTTAAATGAGCGGCCAACAACCGTACACGTCGATGACTGCCCGAAACTAGCCAGCTGTCAACCACTTCTTGCCCAACAATTGTTGTTGTTGCCCCTGCTGTCCACTTCCCCCAACGTTAAAAACACGTGGTTGGATTTTTGGTTTTTCTTTTCCTGCTTTCTCTTTTTAATTGCTAAGGCTCCATATATGAATTTACATTACTACCCTCGCTCTCAACAATTTACCTTTTTTTTTTTTTTAATCCTAATTGTAGTATAATTTTTAAAAGAAATTATTTGACACAAAATTTATTAAATTCAGAGTTAAAAATAGAATATATTTTATTTTTTAATTTTAAAAATTTTATTATTAATTTACTTGAAAAAATATATAATTAATAATTTTTTATTTTCATGCTAAACACGATTAAAATAAATATGTCAAGTGGTTGGTAAAGATATAACTTTCATAGGACGAGAAATACCACGTTTCTTAAACAAATATAAAGTCACATACTTTTTCATTAATTTTGACAACTTTAGCTGAATCGTTTGACCGTAAAAATCACCTTTTGAGCTTCGGAATCTGGGATGTTGGAATTTGTCTGGTACGAAAAATGAAAAAAAAATTATGAATATGAAATTTTATTAATTTAATATTTATAATTTTATTTTATAGTTTAATTATTAATTAATAATTTTTTGTCTCTTTTTATCTTTTTTATCAAACAAAAGTTTAAGATTTTTTTTTTGGTTAGTTTACAAAATCAGATTTTAAATTGAAAAGTTATATTTTTTATTGTTTAGCATTAGAATTGAGTTAAAAATAATTTTTAAATATAAAAAATTATTTTTACCAATAATATTAAATTAGGCTTAAGTGATTTTAGATTAACGGTTCTTTATTCTTTCAAAAAATAATTATCGGTCGTTTATAAAAACTAATTAAAGATTACTAAATTATTATTTAAAAATTTTGTATTTAATATTTTATTTTAACTAAATTCTATAAAAAAATATTAATTGTATTATTTTCTTAAATATGATCCTAATCTATCAACATCATTAATAGTTTTTTGAATATAATTAATTTGGAGCGTAGCCGACCTCCTACATTTCAAACTTATGAAAACGAAAGTCGATTTTGAACCGTGTTTTTAAATTCATCTTAAGAATTAACAATAAAGCTTCTTTTTCCTGGCCACATAATTTTTTAATAATAAATTTGGTAGGTGAAATTATTAATGTTTTAACCTTTTAAAAAAACTAAATTAAAAATAATTTGTACACATTATCTACACAATTTAAGAATCTGAAATTTAATTTATATAATTTTTTTTAAATTTAATGTTTAATTCTAACCAAATTTTGTCTCCACCAAAATTTTAAAAAAAATTAAACTAATTATTTATTTTTTTATTTAAATTATAAATTTGCTAACTCGACTTTCACGTACATATATCTAATTTAATTTGGTAGTTCAAGTCAATGAAAGTCTTATAAGGGCACTGATGAAGTTTGAAACAATGAATTAGCACTAAAGAGTCATGATATTTTTTCTTTGGCATTATGGAAGAATAAAAATTATTTAATATCGATCTAACCTACTAAATAAACACTGTGCATATTAAATATTATAAAGGTAAACATTGATTCAATTTCAAAAAATTAATTTTTTATTGAAAATGTAGCTATTTAAACTCGATATATTATAATTGGCAAAAAAAAAATTGATGTATTTTAATCTTGAACTCAATTTTAATTTATATATAACAAAATTATTGAATTTTAAATATTAATATTAATTAAAAAATTATATTTCAATTCAATACTTTGATTCGGTCTACCAGAAAATACCAAACTTAAGTGAAAATGATGATGAATTACTAGCATGTCAAGAGATACCCAAGTCAGTTTCATTTTTTATTTTTATATTTAAAATTTAATCATTAAAATTAAAAATTAAATATGCTATCCATAAATCTCGCCACTAGTAAAAAAGTCAGAGTCATTTCACTCGAATGACCGCATGCTTAAATTGTGCTTTCTTCAAAGAATAGAATAATGTAATAGAGAAAAGAACTCTGAATTCCTTAAACAAACAAAATATTATCATTAAAAGAATTAATGTCGTAAATACTATTAAATTATAATAAAATATTTAATATAATATCTAAATTTTAAAAATTTATAATGTAATATCTTAATTATAAATCTGTAATTAAATAATATTTATTTTTAATATAATTAATTTTAAATAATGATATGTTATAAATAAATAGTTTTTAAAGTATCATATGAATTAAAAAAATTATAATTTAAATATTATATTAAAAATTTTAAAATTTATATAACATATTATATGTTTTATTATAATTAAAAGATCATTTGTAATATTAATACTTACTAAAAATTATTTGAAGGAGAAAAAGATTGGTAGTTCACCTACTCGTCGCAGTTAAGTCCACTGATAATAAAGCCAATAAAAGGGGAAGAGAGAGGCAGTGAGATGGGGGGACGAGGAAGGAAGGCATTTTGATTTGTATCAAACGGGTTTTGATTTGATTAAATATTTTAAAGTCAAATATTTTTCTTAAAAATGAGTGTAAGGTCGGATGATAAAAAAAAAATTAAAATCAGATCAAAATTAAGTTTTAGATCAATGCAATCTTATTTGATTTGATATATATATATAAATTATTTTTAATTAATTAATTTTATATTTATATTTAAAATTAATAATTTATTAATTTTATATCTGATCAAATTAAATATAATTTTTTATAATATTAAATCTAATCAAATTTAAATAAAAAAAAGTTTAAAATATTAAATCAAATTAAATTTAAATATTATATATATAATCAGATTGAATTTAAAACCAACAAAAAATTTCTCCGACCTGATTATTTTCCATAGACGAGGGCAACATCAAATAATGCTTTCTTAAATCTTTGGGTTAATTTATTTTCCAATTTAGGAAATTTATAAACTTTAAACCAATCCCTGACTGCTTTACCGGATACAGCCCGTTGCAACCCTTAACCAAGGTCCGAAAATCCCAACCCAAAACCGAAAGCCATCCTCATTATCCATCGTCCAACCAATTCCCACATGCCACGTGTTTGTTGATTTTGGTTGAGCCAACACCGTCATTTGGTCAAGTGGCTGATGTCGTTGATGATTTTTAAAAATAAAACTTTATAATTTTATAAATAATATCAAAAGATTGATATCTATTTTATTATTTAAATTTTTTATTTTTAATATATTATAAAATATTTGTATCATATTACTAACTTCATTTATAAAATCTAAAGATTTGATAAATAATTCAAGTCATCAAAATTTTTTGATTGTTTAATATTAAATTTTTAATAATTAGGGCAACAACTGATATCCTCATCACAACTTTATTGAGATTTTTCATCATCTTACAATTTTATATAATTATTATATATAATTTATAACATGGGATTCATGTGAGATATTAGATATATATAAATTTTGCATGAATCTTAGCTTCATGAATTTAGAATTAATTATAAATAATATATATATATATATATATATCATTGCCATGTTATCAATCCCCAAGATTAAATCGCAAAGAACAAAAAAGTCTAACATGGCCCCCAGCAAAAAACCTATATTAACTGTTATTTAAAACATTAAAAAATAAAATTACCAAGGAATTATAATATTAAAGGAAAGTAAGGGGTATCTTGTCGGCAAGGTGTACGAGGTTTTTACACATAGGGAGACGTGGACGCTTCATATCCATTCATGGAAAGTCTTCTCTCAAATATAACACTGTGCCGTTTAGTCAAACTTTCTATTTTCAATTTTTTTCTATTAATTTAATTTATTTTATTGCAAATATTTTTTTATTATTTTCTCTGGCCTTTGGCTTTGGCTTTGGCTTTATTGGTCTTGTTGGCCACTCCTTTTTAGATGATTTTACAAAAATGTCCTTGGCCTTTTGTTTTTCTTAATGAATGATCTAGACTTTGTTAATTTAATATTTCCTACTCATCTTTCTTAGTAAAATAAATTAATCGGACATACAATAAAATCGATTCGTATAAGAAGAATATGAAAGTAGATAAATTATTTAATTTTTTTATTAAAAGATATATTATATTTGATAATTTAAAATTATATATATAAAATAAATTTAAAATATAATTATTAATTAAATTTAAATTTAAAATTTTTTCATTAAAAAAAAAGATCTTTTATCAATCGATGCTATCGCTTATCGATAAAATAAAAAATAAATTAATTGATATGGTCGGTGATCCAACTGCGTCGAAACATATTAATATTAAAATTATTTTATTTATAGATGAAGAAAATTAGTTGTCAATTTCTGAAAACAGCGCATAAATCACACCAAACACGTAACATCAACAATAATATTAACGAAGGCTTATGAAAGCATGTTGTTTAAGGAAACAAAAGAACAATCAGAAAAAGAATTAAAAGGTAATCATCCACCGTAGTGAAAAAGAGATATCGAAGCCGATAAGATTAGTGCAAGGGATTAAAATTTAAAATTTAAGTGTAAAATACATAAATTTAAATTTTTACGGTTTTTTTATTAATAAATGATGTGTAAATTTAAAAATTTTATAAAATAAGATAATTTACTCTGAATTTTGAAATAAGATAATTTCTCTTGTTTTTAAATTAAAAAAAAAATTGGAAGGATTGAAAGGAGAGATCACTTGTTGAAACTGCTAAAATTCCATTTGTATGCTTTAAGAAATTTCCTTCAACTGTTAATTTATCTTTCAATTATTGTTGCATATAGGTCTCATTTTTTATCTTTAAATTATTTTTTTTATAAAAAAATTAATTCTATTGATAATTTTTTTTTCAATTAAGATTCAATTCTAATAAAAAATATTTCAAAAATAAAATCTTAAATTCTTTAAATTATTTGCTGAAATTAATAATATTAACCATTCCTATACTCCAAACCTTGATTATTACTCCTTATTCTTTTTTATTTCTACACATAAGTTTACTAATTATATATTTTTAATGATTGATTTGAAATTTAAATACTACAAAAATTCAAACTTCATTATAATAAAAGACATAAATTTAACAAATTAGGTATAATAAAAAAAGATCGCAACATAAACCCTAATTAGATTTAAGCATACATTTAAGTAAGCCAATAATAAACATTTTGTTTTTCCAGCTGATATTCCAACAAACTAAGATTAAAAAGATATTATTCTATTTTTTTTTAATATTTTTTTGGTTATGCCCACAAGATACAATGTCACTAGTTAATATTTAATATTAAAGTGCAAATGGGGTAAGTAATCATCATTTGAAAGTATTATTAAAAATAAATAAATAAATAAAAATTTCGAGGAGATTAAGATGCCAAAACCATGTATAAACAAAAGCAAAATCAGAACATAATCTTCATTAAAATTTGTTTATTAAGGTTTGATTTGTATTAGTGCTTTAAAGCCAAACCGGTTAGGAGAAAAAGACATGCTCCGACAAGGTTTGAAAATTCACCATTTTTGCTATTTGTTTAGAATACCTAAGTCAGGCTGCTGACTTCGTGCTTGGTGGATAATTGATTCACTATTCAAACCCTGTACATATATATATATAATATGAGATTTTTATCTCATACGACTCTTTGTTTAATTTTTTTTAAGTTAATGTTTTTTTTTCCTCGTTCGAAAATCTCCTCCTCCTTTTCATTCTATCCCGAAGAATAATTAGAATAAATTCAATCACGTTTTCATGTAATAAAAACTTAAAAATTAATAAAAAAATTAAGGGTATTTTATATTTTTTTAGCTTAATTATTTTATCAAATAATTTTATTTAAAAGAATATATTTTTAAAACAATCCGAAAAAGTTAATCTCATATAAAGTAAAAAAAATTCTCGGGGTATTACTAGAAGGTTTTAAACTACATTACATCTTTCTTTAGCTAAGAACAAGCAAATATAATTTCTTTCTTTAGTTTTTTTTTTTTTTTTCATTGAAGATTTAAAAGCTCCCATTGCCTAGGGAAAAAGATGTCTTGAATTTTAATGTGGAGTACATCCTAAGAAATTCTTGGCAAAGATCACATTCAAACCAGATAGTTTTTTAAAAAAAGTGAATTTTCATGATTTTCATTTTTTTTTGTATAAAGTTATGAAATTTTAAGAGTGATTGTACGAAAACTTGGATTCCATGTTGAATATGGATTTCATTTGTTTGGATAAAATCAAATGTGAAACATATGTTAAAACAGTTGGCCAGTACTGTTCATAAATATAATCACCAAACAAGGCAAAAGAAAAGTCCAAATTAAGATAATAGCAGCAGGGTTGAAAATATCAGTAAATTAAACCAAAGACAGACATTAATTGTGTTGAAAAGATTAATGAAAAGAAATTCTGGATGGCATCGAATCAAAGGGGGCAGTTGCAATATCATGTCATAAAGTAGATGAAATTTCATTAATTTTCGCTATGATAACTTTATACTTGCTGTCATCTTGTGTTTGGAACAACGTACTTACCCAATGTCTTTATCTTTGAGCATCATGAATTATTCCAAAGCATACCCAAGATTTGTTTTTCTGCTTTTTATTTTTTTACTTTGTTTTTTTGCTCCACATTCATGAATCCTAGTTTAATGAATTATGACAATGTGCACTTTAATTTTCCACTTCTTGGTCCAAGGATTCAAAATGGCTTGTTGCAGCAATCTTTTTCTTTTTTTTTTTACTTTCCCCAACTAGACCAGGGTTGGGGTAAGAGTCGTCTCACCTTCCAATGCCAGAATAAAAGCCTAAGATCTGATGCATAAGTACATGTTTCCTTTGAAGTTAACATAACAAATTGTTTATTTTCAAAACTCAAAAGCAATAAAGAGATGGATGAAGTTGGCAATCTAATCAGTAGATTTTGATTTGATCGATTTTTTTTAATTGAATTTGGATCGTATCAAAACCAATATTTTAAAAAATTCAAAATTAAATTTTATGCAAATTCATCTTGTCTTAATTTGATATAAATATTATTTTTTATTATTTATTTAATTTTATATTTATATATACTTATTTTTAAAAATAATATTTTATATTATAAATAATATTAAATATTAAAATTTAATATTTTATTAATTTTAAATTGAATCGATTATAACTTTAAATATATGTAAGTCAAATTTATTTGGATATTAAGCTTTAAAGTCGAGTCAAATTTTAATGAACAAAAATCTGTTCCATCCCAATCTGTTGCTATCCATAAATACAACTGAGTTTCTCAAATTAAATATGTAACGATTATTTCACATTAAAATATGTCTATTTCATTGAAACTGTGACCTTTGGAAAATAATGCCATGTATATATATATATAGGTTCACTTGATCATGTGGCAGTGGAACCCCTCAAGATATCTTCTCAACTCAAACCATCTAGCTGCCATGCAACCAAACATATGACAGGAGAATTAGCCAATGTTCTGAAAATTAACATGAATAATAATCAACAAATTTTAATGTAATTAGATCAAATCTGTCAATTGGGATGTAACCAAGCAAATTCTGAGACCATAACTGAGAAAGTAATTGGTTTGGGTGTTTTTTTTTCAAACTAAATTTCAATTGACAAGTTTCAGAATCAAGGCAATTCATAAGTAATACTTGGTTATCAGCACAACTTGAATTTCTCTTAAAATACGATATAAAGACACGATATAAACATGATATAAAAATAAAATACGAAAATAGTACGACTTAAAATTTTAATAATAATTATATATAAATTTAACAAAACCAAAAAATATATTTTATATTTTCGTATTGATACGAATTATAATATACATTTTTCGTATAAAATACGATATGAATATATGCATTTCAACATTTTATATTATACGAATACATGAATAATCAGATCTACTTTCTCTAAATCCTTTTTCTTGACCCAGCCTTCAACGGAAGTAAATTGGGTCAATAGTCGGCCTAAGAGGAAAGTGACCCATATTGAAAAAGGCTGAAATGGCATTATAGAGAGCATAGAAAATTAGAAATAAACAACTTTGGCTACGAATAATAACATTGTGCATGACTTTCAACGGGAGGCAAGATTCAGTCTCCAAGTGTTTGTAGAACAATGTTAATTAAACTAGCCAAAGATTTACTGACATAAGGTTCTATAGGGTTGGAAACTTGAAACAGATATATATTGCAATCCATATATTGCAAATTGACATGGATTTGCAAGACACTGATCTTCTCTGTACATGAGAGATGTGATATCTATAAGCATTTAACAAAGTTGAAAAAAAAAACCTGCTCTTGAACAAGATTTACAAGTATTCAAGAAAAGCAATCCTAAGATTGTCGAGGCGGAAAGAAACTTGGTGTTCTATATGATCACTAAACCTACAAAGAAACATTTGTCAGGAAGATTAACAATGAATTGTGCTGATTTATAATTTTGTTAATGTAAATGTGGTATGTGGAAAGGTTGTTCAAAACGAACCGTAAAATTTCATAGAATAAAGCTCTTGAAAGCTAGCCTGCAAAATAAGTCATGAAGCTTCCGTCTGGATAGATCAATGCAAGCTTTCCATTCCAAAATTAATTATTTCATTGTGCCCTGCATTTTGTTCAGTAAAATAAAAGATTCATGAATCTAATTTAATTAAAAACTAAAGAGTGAGTGAATGTGCATGAATCATGCGTCGAAATAATGTATTTGAAGTAGGAAACCTATTTCCAGAAACATTTAGTTTATGGAGCGTAGCAATTCTTAGACTGCTATTATCCTGGCACCTTAACAAGTGTCGTTTTGAACAGTTTTAGCAATTTTTTTTACGAGAAATCACATGTAAAATCATCAAAAGAGGGGTCTGCATTTTGTTACACAGCAAATGTTTGAAAACCATGCCATTGATTGTCTTAGTAGTATACTCCAAATAATCTGCTGAGACAATAAAAGCAAGTGTCGGGAACGAACCTTGACAGTGAATTGAGTTTATCTCAGGCCCCATCAGTTCTATTCCTTCATCACTTAGCAATGAAATCCCTGACGAAGTTATATGGAAAGGAAATGCCAGAGGGGGAGATATTGGAGATTTAGCCACTTTTATAAATCTCTGACCTGTAAGAGAAAGGAATAGTTCAAAGTGCAACATTAAAATGGCTAAATGAGATTTGGATCTTTCTATAAGATGCTAAACTGGAAATAGAAATTTTATTTTGAGAAAGTTTCCCTAAAAAAGCATCTTGCATTATTTAGATACATATGGTTTATTGCTTTTCTTTTGAAAGAAAGATGGAAAGACAGAAAATAGGCACTAGAAAATTGCATGTGTTTTCCAACAAATAATAAGCAACTGAACCTTTAAATAAATATGAAATTGAAATTCAATAATTTAAGTTTTCCCAAATTCTAGAAAATGAACAAACACCATTCTAAAAGAAAATGGACTTATAACAGAACCCATCTAACAAAAGCATCTCATTCCAACATACAGAAGAGAAGCACATGCCAATGTCTCCCACTAAAGGAGTTCACTTATAAGGAGAATCATGCAAAGTATTGTGCACAACCTGATTTAGCTTCCAGCACTAAACGAGTGGTTACAGCATGAGCCCAATGAATCCCCAAAGCAGCAACAAGATGGGAATCATATCGTGTGGGAGTCTCTATAGTTCCATCCCTACCCTGCACTGCACAAGATAGATTATATTGTGTGAATAAGTCAGGGAAAATATTTTACAATCTGATTATGCCATTTACCTTGGAAAGAATATTGGGAGGCTTGATCGTGGTTTTGAGATCTCACTTGGTTTGTCACTACAACAGGAATTCGTGAAAATTCAGCCAGTGACCTACATGTATTTGAAAGAAACAACATATATAAGTTGAGCCAAAAAGACAATTAACTCAAGCAAGAGCAACAAATTGGAGGATTTGAATTTTTTTACTTAATGAACGAAATATGCCAGCTCAATGCTTGTTGTCTACGAACACCCTGCTCATGTTCCCTGAACCAAATTAACCTGTCATTGCTTGCATAAAGGAAAAACATATTCTGCAAATATTTCCAATTAATAGTGAAAAGGGTTAGAGATAAAAAGAAGAGAATAAATGATATTTACAAGTATGCAACTTATATGTTTATCCCAAAACACAAGAGACACGCTTTTTGTACTAAAAGCTTCACCAGATATGGGATGTAGGAATGACAAGCTAGGCAGGTCAAAGTCATTAGAATATATAGAACGTACTCTGAAACAAGAGCAGCCATGCTATCAATCACTAGCATCTTCACTTGGTTTTGGAGAAGTGAAACTTTTATTTGTTCCAAACTGAGGAACAAATAACATAACAAAGAATTCTAATAATGTTAGTCGAATCTTGTTCAATCAACATAAAACATTAAAGCAATAACACAAAGTAAATAGAAGCACTGAGAAATTTAAGTCAGTTTAGACATCCACATTCAATGACTAACCTCTGCGTAAATTCAGACAGTGATGTTGGCTGCAAAACTACAATCCTACCAGCCATCTGAAATAAGAATGAACACAACATCCTTTATGTTCCTAGGCAATATTATAATGCAAAGAAACTGGAAGCAAAATCCAGAAAAATAACATTCCACAGACCTCCTGAGCCATTTCCTTCATCTGAAATATTTCAGGAAAACTTCTCAATCCAATTTCTAACAACCTGAAAAGGGACAGATTTATAACTTCAAATTCAGTATTTTCCTCCTAAAAAGAAAAGGATGTAAAGAATTAGAAATGTAAAGAGAAGCGGGTATTGAAAAAGCCTGCCGCGGCTACCTTCTTGAACTGAATTTAGATTCAACATCAAAATATATCACTCGACCATCCAAGCCTCCGTAATTTGTAGGCAGTGAAGCCAATAACGAAAGCTTCAAGCAAAACTACAATTCAACCAAACAAGCTACCCTTTATTACTTATTTCCCTAATTAAAACCTTCAAAGCACAACTCTATCAGTTGCACACTGAAAAAATCCTAACATTATTATGAAAAACCAATCAAAGCACCCAAAAGTTCCAATCTTTAAGAGACTTCTAAAAAAACCAATAATAAAATAAATTAAATTTTCATTTTTTTTACTTGGGTCTTGCCAATTCCAGCTGGACCAACTAATTCAGTCAAAACCCCAAATGGAATTCCCCCACGTAAAGCTGCATCCAATCCTTTCAAGCCTGTAGGAAAATGGCCCCCCAAGTGCTCGTTTTGAAGCCGTTGCTCCATTAAGGAAAGTGCCTGGGTATTAATCAAAAACCCTAAATTTGTTAGAAATTAAAACGAAAAAAGGAAAAAAAAAAAAACCAATTCAATTGAAGAAAAAAAGAAACTTTTTATAAATTTTGGTTACAGTTTTGTACGGTGGAGCAACGATCTCACTGATTTGCGATAATGCAGATCTTACTTCCGTTAATCCCACATCTAACAACTCCATTAGCTCAAATTCCGTTAAAGATAACGCGTCCTTCGATCCCAAAAAAAAAAAAATCAAATTGTTTTAAAAATTTTTGACTACTAATTATTAATGAAATTAAAGATCTTAAAACAAAAATAAAAAAAGAAGAAGAAAAACCTTGGCTGTGGAAATATTACGGGCGGCGAAGACATTGGCGATGGATTTGGGAAGCGGGATCTCACTGATCAGCTTGTTCGCCATTTCCTTTGTCACTTTGAATTTGATTTTTCACTTTTTTTTTTTTTTTGCTTTTTTAGGTTTTTATTTTCCTTTTTCTGGTCTTCCCCGCCAATTATCTTAACCGTTACTGCTTTCATTATCAAAATGGGCTTTGTCTGTTGGGATAAGGGTGCGGCCCATTATTTTGGAGTTGGACACCTTGTTTGGGCCCATGTCTATAGTTCAATTATAATTCACACTTTCAACTTTCCTGTGTATAAGGGCTATTTCGTACCAGCCATTCAATTATAAATAATGAATATGGAATTAGGGATGGTAATGGATATTAAATAAACGAATATTTATGATTTTTTAATTATTTATATCATATTTGAAAAGTTAAAAATGAATAATTAATTAATTTAGATAAGAGATTTAACATTTGTGAAGAATTTAGAGGAGGCATAGATAGCATCTCCTAAATATTTAATATTCAAATCTGTTTAAATTTTAATGAATAATAATAAATATTTGAATCTATATCCAAATTTGTTACTATTTAGATATGCAAAATATATAAAATATTATACTTATAGAATGTTTCAAAACTTAAAAAAATATATTTATTTATTATTAATTTAGAGTGAACTTAAATTTTAAATTAAAATTTTATTTATTTTATATTTTGATAAAAAAAATTTAAATAAACAAATATTTTAATGAATTTGAATATTTAAATGAATTTAGACTTGTATACTAATATTAATCTTAATCGAATATTTAAACAGATTCAGATATAATAAATATTAAATGAATTCGAATACGAATATATAAAAATAACGAACATACTTCATTGTCATTCTAATTTAAATTTATTTCAATTAATTTATATAATTATTTAAAGTAATAATATGCTATGATGATCTTAAAAAATGTTTCAAAACGCCTAATGGAGGCATATTATACATGATTTAAAAGTACATGAATATAAAAAAAAAATAAAAATCAAGAGTTACATCCCCCGATGTTTGATACATACTCATGTTCAACGAAAACAAACTGAGTTTGAGGCTTTGAGTCATGGCTAATGAGTCTCTCCTGACTAGTTTTCTTCACTTGGGAAAAATACAAAAGTGCTTAAAATCACTGCATTTAAGATCATATAGTTTGTGAGTTGAGACATACCCAGCAGCAGCCTCGAAATCTGCGGTTGATTCCTGCTAAATGTCAATGCAGAGACATAAAGTACACCCGATAATATAATTCCAAGGTGTTGGTCACGGTTAGTTAATCAGAATGTTTCAAACAATCCTGAAAACTTCTGTCCACATCCTTACATTTTACTACTCAAAGACGATTGCTGCTTTTTTTTTTTTTTTACTCTCTATATAAAATTCCATGAATTTTGGCCTTGAACGATGATTCATCCATGGAAAGAGCTTAGGCTGTTTCTATTCACTTTCCAGCAACCACAATAGCTTGCTGACATTATCAAGTTGCTGTTGAAACAGCTTTTTCCTTGAACCCCTGGTAGGATCAAGTTGAATTATCTTTCCAAATCTACTTTTGGGATCAAAGATTTCAGTAACGCTCGATTTTCAAGCTGAAAATGATCATAATTTTTAGACGAACTATCTCATACCAAATATTACTAGCCAGTTCCCCTTTTAAAGGGCATTGACCCTTCTTGATTGACTCAATCGGAATTTAATTGCTAACATCCAACGGAGATTGAACAACTCAGAGCTTAAACAAGAAAGAACATGACAAGTGGCAATAATTTTGTCGAAAGAAACAGTGTGAAATCATTGAGTATCTCACACAAAATGTCATTTCTAATCCGTTATATTTAATGTTTAGTTGGCATGCATTGTAATCTTTCAAACTGAGAAAAATGCCCTTTTTTTTTATATCTACTTGCACTTTTTCTCCCATGATGTCAGCAAAAGATCACTTGGGAAAGCAAGGTTTAAGCTACTTTTTTATTTTATTTTATTTTATTTTATTGTCTATTACACGTCAACTAATGGTGTCTGATGTGGCAGATAAGGCGGCTGAGACAATTTTGTGGAAACAGGTAAACTTGACTAACATTGGTACCCTGTTAAATTTCATCAAAATGAAATTACAATGAGATTTGGACAAAATTCACATGACTAAGAAAACAAGTTCAGGTAATATTTGAATCCTCAAACGTATACTACAATTTCTTTCTGGGAATGGTTTTTCTTCTTTAATCCGAAGGAAAACCAGAAACAATGCCTTTTTAGACTTCCCCCTCAGCTTGTAAATGGGGATCCTTTCAATGTTGTAGGAAGGGACAATTGGGCAAAGTCCCCCAAAAGCTACAGAAAAGGGATGAACAACACACTTGTTCTTTGTCATTATCTAAGGATGGTAAAGGGAGGAAGATTGGTTTCCCTCCTTTTCCCGTATTTTAATGAAGTCAATGCAAATCAAACCATTTCCTTTCTGTACTCCATCATGTATATAACCAGGAAAAGAAAGGAAAAAGGAAAGTATTGCCAGATTCTTTTGAGATTCCATTCAGATTAATGAATTGTAGACTTTTCTGAGTTTTGGGTTTAGACCATGGGAACTTGCAAAGAAAGTACATTCTATCCCCTTTTACAAAAACAATATCCCAACCGCACCATTTTTTTGTTTTTTGATATGGGACACCATCATAGCCGAGGGCTGGCGACCAAGGCTGTCTCTTATTAAAATGAAGTAGATAACAGAAAAAACCAGGACAGGGAAATATCAGTTTTTGCACCAATCTAATTGGCTGCCCCATTCATCAAATATTGGTCTATAAAACGAACTCACCACCACCCTCTTCTGACATCCTTCGCATTTCTCAAGCATTTCCCATTCCCCTCCCCTCTTTCCCATTCCTCCTCTTCATCTTCCCTATTTTTCATCTTTATTTTTTCCTTTTGTACTCTGCTCGATCTCTGGTTTTATTAACAGATACCTTAGTTGAAATCCTTGTTTGTATCTCAATTTCCAAGTATAAATGAATCTATCTTTTTCTTCCATGACTCCTATGTTCTTCTTTTTCTTCTTTGAATTTTGATTGGAGCTTGATCTGTTCAATTTTATTCTCATTTTTTATGTCCTGTTTGTCTTCTTACTCTGTTGCTTCTCTGTTTCCCCTGCAGATAGTCTGTTTTGATATTGATGGCGACTGCTTCTACTAATCCCCAAAGGAAGAAGGAAAAGCACTTTCCCCCCAGGAGAGGCCAAATAAAGGCTCAAATTTTTGAGAGCATGGTCAAGACTGTTGTTTCTGCAGCCTCAAAAGCTAAAGAAGCACTGAGGAAAAACAAAGGAGAAGGCAGTGAGGGGAAGAGCTCTTCCTCTACTACCACTACTCCACCACAAAGTGGCTATAACTCTGAAGGAAATGGTGGCATATCTTAGAAAAAAGCCTTCTGAGGGGTAAAACCACCATCATATCTTCTGTTTCTCGTCTCAATTCTCTGAATTTGAGAGATATTTATCATGGTTCTGAAGCACTTTTCCTACATATTTGTCTAAACCGGAAAAGGCAGTATCTAAAGAAACTATTAACCACAAAAATACAAAAAAAAAAAGGTTGTATCTATAATTCTAAATACCTAGGCTGTGAAAATCTGTCATTTTAGATTCAGATCATAGCTTCTGTCTGGTTTCTAATGCAAAATGTGATATAACAAGGGTGACCTACATAACTCATGTTTTTGTCAGTTATGGTAGGGGATGTATATGAACCCATGTAAGTTTTCATTTTGTATTTTGTCAGTTAAGCCCTCTTCCATAGTTGTTTCTTCTAGTTTTTGAGGGGAGATGATGTTTATGGGAGAGGCTAGTTGTATCTGGTGTTTGAAGGTGTCTTTTTCTTTGTACCTTCAGCTGCCTGCCTGTCTCTTGTGTAATTTCTGTACTATGATGTAATATAGTAATGAAGAATTTCATGTCTGCCTGTGCTTCTGGTTTGGTTTTTGTATGGACTTGATTTCAAGGTCCATTATAGTTTGTGAGTTCTACTTCTATCCCATCATTTACATCTATTGCCAAATCAAAAGAAAAAGAAAAAGAAAAAAAAAAAACACATCGATTGTCTCGTATCAAATCGTAAGTGACGCAAAATTTCCCATAAAGAACAGATCCAATTGAATCTAACAGATGTTAGTGACATACAGTTGTATGACACTGCAACGAATGAAAGTTTTGCAATAGCAATTTGGAAATTTCAAAATTTATCTGAGTGCCAAGAAACAACCAGGAAATTGGGCCAAGGCCTACAGCCACCGCCATCTCGCCGAAATTTGGTTGACTACTACTCTACAAAACGACAGTTGCAGTTACACAAGAAATTGTCAAAGTTTCTGTAGCCACCAGGGCAAAAATCTGATGCGATTCAACTGAACTAAGTTTCCAAACTGAAACCCATGTTTCATTATTTCTTAATAATCTACTCTGACGTGCCATTTGGGAAGTGATCTTAGAGTCAATCTAGTTATCAAAACCCATTAAATGAAGCTAATCAAAAGTTGTTGTATAAACCTTAATTGTAGAGTTTTTGATTAGTTGATGAAAGCTGTCGTGTAAGTATAGAAAACACCGGCCCCTGTTTGTTGGTAAGGTGTTGTGCTGGACCTTTTTGACACAAATGTTAGGATTTGGTCGGTTGAGATAACGCTTACGGCTGATTTCATAACAGGATAGGATGGGATTGGTTCCATCAGAGCACATATTTTGTGTCACAAACGAATTATATAAGTAAAAATCTTTTATTATAAAAATAGGGGAAATGCCTTCTTTATTGATTAGTTTGTGGAAAAGCACAGCAAAAATAATGTAAAAAAACGGCACTTTAATTTATTTCTGCATAATTTAACGAAGAGAAGAAGTGCTCAAAGAAATATAGTATATTATGTAAATTGTGCAAGCTGCCAAGAAAATAAGAAAAGGAAAAATTTTAGGAGTCCTTTCTGAAATTTGATATAATCAACTACCAACAATGGCGGCTCTTTCCCTTCTATCTCAGATTCTCAACAGACAGGGCTCTTAGAACCATTCCCTTTGTTGTGAAAACTTTGAGGAGTTCAAGGAAATCATAA